GTTTACAAAGTCTTGATAAGCGTCTGGCCAGATTGATATATTCCAATAATCTGGAGTCAGATAGATATACAATGTTCTAATTGAGGTGAAAGGCAGAAACTACCTTAGGCTAAAGGCAGTCCTGGGCCTCAATACCACTTTGTCTATTTGTCTGCTGACCAGAAAGGGATCCTTGCAGAATAAAGCCACCAGTTCAGACAGTCACCTTACAGAGGTGATGCCTACAAAGAATACCACCTTGAGGGTGAGAGTAGAAAGATGAATGCCTCTAATTAGTTTAAACGGCTGTAATTATAGTGCAGACAGAACCACATTTAAATCTCACATAGTTAAAGAGGATTGAATAGGGGGAGCAACACGTAAACTCCCTGTACAAAGGTCTTAATCAACAAATGAGAGGCCAACGGTCTCTGAAACTGAACAGAAAGGGCAGAAATCTGGCCTTTAATAGTACTAAGAGCCAAAAGCTGGTCCAGACCCAACTGCAAAACGGAGAAGATTCTCACCAAGTGAAGTATACCTTCCATGTTTACTGGCAGACCTTGTGGGAAGCAGGCTTGTTGTTGAACCTGGAGGTCCGTCCCTGGCATCCCCCACCTGCGACACCAGTCCTGGAATACCTTTGGGTGTAGGGTCACTGCCCCATGTACAGGTCCTGTAACCTAAATAAAACTGCCTGCCAACTGTCTATGCCTGGGATGTACACAGCATCACCTGAAGTTTCAGAATGTTGATGAGACTTCGACAACCATGTCCATTGCACAGACAGGGTGCCCAGGACTCCTCCCTAGCCCGCAGCCTGGCATACTTTATGAGAATCTTCCAAAAGCTGGGAAGAAAGGACTTCCCAATTGAATTGTCCAATGACAATAGAATGTTGTGTTGTAGAGGTGTGAAGTGAAACTGGGAAACTGGAGCTGACTCGAAGGAGGCTACCATCAGACCTACGACTAATACAAAAATCAGAGAATCTGACAACTTCTGGACTGGAGAGTTCAAATCTGAGATTAGAGTCTGAAGTTTCTCCTGTGGAAGAAACTCAGGCCTGTATCATGGACTAGACCCAGTTACTTCAACCAATGAGTCTGTTCCAGCAATGACATCCAAAGGTTTAGAATACATCTGAACCATTGTAATATCAAAGAAAAAAGGGTGCTAGCAAAATAGGTTAGCCTTTCACAACACAGCTGAAGAAAAGATGTCCATCCTATGACATCAGCAAAAAAGTGAGGGATTGCTGGTAGTGGGATGTGGCCTACAGTTTTGTTTGCCAGAGCCCAATCCTCCTGTAGGTGGCGGTATAAGTGGACCAAAAAGAAAAATTGATTAATTTGCTTTCAATGGTGTGTGGTGATTTGCCTTCATTCGATTTGCTATTGCAGAGCACAGGCGGTCAAACTGGTGTTCCTGGCACTCAGTGGCAGTGTATAGGAGTCATTTCTTCATGGCCTGGAGCAGCGTCAAATTGCCTAGACTTTCTAAGGGAGTGTTCTTCACATACTGTACGTATGTGGCTCTTTCTCCTATTATTTCTACAAGAACACATTCACTTTCACATAAGAGCTTGTATTGTAGTTACTCCTAAGGCAGAGGATGGTTTAGAAAAGGCAAAGAATGTGAGTTATAGAAAAACAGTGGGGGGTAATGTCCATACCATACTTACAGGTAATCCCAATAAAGATCATTGTACTCAGTCTGAAATGGCAGATCGTGTTAGCTTGTGCTCATTAACGCATCTAATGTGTACACCATCTGAATCATCTTCTCGTAAGACAACTTGTGAACACTAATCTTTGATAGTTTTGGGTTTAGTGTCCCTTATAACCCAACTGAAGTCTGAGCCTAATTATTACACATAAACTCAGGGTACAGCAAGCAAAGCTTTCTGTGGCTCATTGTTTTTTGGTTAATCCCATCTCATTCAAAAAGCCCCATTGCCTTATAGTATTCTGCAGAGAAGGACAGCTGCACTTTGTGTTTACAGCTATCAGCAATGCTTGTTCACCTCAGCAAGTGTTGCTGTTTGTTTAGATAGCTGCCCTTGCTAAGCTCCACTTCTGGAAATGCTGGCTATCCATCACACTAATGGTTTTAATACTCTAAGTTAATGATCTGGAACAAGTGTGCAGCAAAGAACGTCTGCCTCTTCTATGACATTTCTGAAGTGCATACTTCTAAGTCAACAACTCAGAAAATCGGAAAGGCAGAAGACCACCATAACAGGAAGGCAACTAGCATTTTCAGCAATTTTCCTCACATCAGGTTTGTTTTAAAGTTTGGCATGTAGTTTACATATGTACAATCAAGGGCAATTCTATAAGTAGCTTTTTATACTTACTGATGCCCAAGGATGAGAGGTTTGGCATTACATGTGGGCGTTACCTAGTGCAGTCTGCCTGGAAATGGCTACTTGTCCAGATTGACATCTAACCAAAAAGGCATTTAAATATTTTAATCACTCCTTCTAAGAGCCAGCCCAATGCTAGCATCAGGGCTGAGGGCTCTCTAGAGGAGTTCTGGGACAAGGTGCCTGTTATGTTTTTAGAAAGCATATTAAACCAGCTTTAAAGCCTCATTGATCCCACATTTGGCTCCACCACTTCAGCCTTACCCAGCTTAATGTGAGCAATGTGGTTACGTGTCTCCTGCCAGGATCCCCTGTGATTAGAATAAGATTCCATTATGATCTGCAAAATCAACATTTCTTAAACTTTGATTTTAGCATGGCTATGGCAGGCACTGGAACAGGCAGGATAGGATGGCATCACCCAGATTGAGTTTCCAAATACGACAAGAAGGCAGCAGGTGAGTGAACCACTTTGTGTCCACCTAAAACACTATTAAACCAGAATTCTCTCAACTAGGGAGACAGATACAAGCAATTAAGGGTCTGAAAAAAAAGATCTTCCTGCTGAAAAATGGCTGTAAAGCCGTTATTACCTAGTGAAATGAATGGCTACATTTTCATACATGACAGTTTTGGACACAGAATGACCGCTATGCCGTTAGCAGGTGATACCGCTAACTTTAGGAATGCCTAACAATAACAAAGACTCTACATGACCAAGACATTTAGGAATTACATGGTAAACCAAACATAAATCTTAATTTTGTCTTTTATTCTGGTAGAATACATTGTAATACAAGGAGACTCTACTCTACCAGAACAAACAAGAATGTGAGCTATAGCAATGATGTTCTTGAAAAGTAACACTCTGTACAGGGTTGGCTGACCAAAAGAATACCAACTGTGTATCCATCAAGCAAGTAGTCACATCTATGTAATCTAAATCATTTCTACCTGAGAGTAATTTATCAATGTAAACCCTCTCATTCTTTAAAGAAAAAATGCCGTCATTTCATTTCAGCATAATGAAGCTGAAACTTTGAGATTATCTGGGTATACCAAACATACATTAAAACAATAAATAATTCCTACAACATTTAAACACCCTGCAGTGTTTCCTCAACTTATTGATAAAGAGAAAATATGCCTCCATGTTCATACAAAAGAAGAGAATGAAAACAGCAATTGACAATTCTCAAAGCTAACTATGATGTTTCCCGGTTCAGCAGTGTATGTTAAAAAATAAGCAATTTTCAAAAAAACGAACAAAAAAAGGCCTGATACAACAAATTCTCGCCATTCTCATGCTTTAAGTGCTTCCATATCTATTATTTAAGTGCTTCCATTAGAAAAATAGAGAATATTTACATTTAGGTAAACAAAATCTTAAATACAAAGAAGAAAAGATGTAAACAGAACATGGGAGATGAAAGATTGCTAATTTGTATGAAGGGCGACTTGGTGCAAATAAAAACTGGACAGTAGATCAGCTGTGATTAAAGATGATGGGGATGCTTTGAAATGTGGTGGTGACGGGAGCTCTCAAGCCCTGCTTTAGTGTCATGAGCTCGCTCACCCCCCCCCCCCCCACTCTTCCAAATATAAAAGCTCTTTTTAAAAGAGTACATATTTTTTCTTCGATGCATGGTTTTACATTTATTCTAAATACACAATAAATATATTTTTTCCTGCAGGAGAAGATACCCAGACTATTCCTCCCTTACTCCAAATTGCTAATACGGTTTAAATGCTTTCATCTGTACTAAAAATTAAAATGCAGGATAAGAAAAAAAAAGGGGGGTCACAAGTGCCACACTTAAACTTTGTCATGACATGATAGTTAGCTTGGGGAGTGTTATTCCTCCATTGATTCTGTGGTATGGCCTCTGCATTAAAACATTCAATGTATTTCATAGTAAGACCATAACATTATCTGTTTAGTGCATTCAAATCTGGAAGTTGCTGTTACAAAGCTAGCTAATGCCCCAAAAAACATTACAGTGCCTAAAAAGTTAAGATGATCAACTCTTTTCGGCACCACTGCTCTTGATTCAACTGAACCTATATCAAGGAGGAGTGTTACTGACAAATGGCAGATTGCATTTGTTTCGTTTTTAGTGTGGTAATATCTTCCTTGATGGAGGCAACGGGAATCCTCTGTGGTGTCACGTGATCTTCTGTCTGCCAGAACTGCATAGACTCACCAAATGTAAATATGATGGGTGAGAAACAACATGGAGACTTGTTAACTGAAGTACATCTCTGATCACCTCTGCTCTCCAATACGTTTTGTATAAGGCCTATCAGCAGTCTATCAGAACTGACATATTACATTATTATTTTATAACAGTGCCATGCAATGTTGTATACTAGCAATAGAAAGATCAAAAACTACCAACCATAAGGTATTTACTGCTAGGTGGTAGCAAAGCAGTACACAAACACAAATCTTCACTGTATAGTTGACTAAAAGATGGTCCGTACTGAAACTCCAGGTGTTGCGTATGGACACTATTATACAGCACAGCATTGTTATTACTGGTGAAAAAACCTAATGTATCTTGAATCCTTAACCACTTGGGAGTGAAATGAAGCAATAAATAGTGATCAAGGTGGTGGGATTGGCATGAAGAATGGTCCTGCAAATCATGAGGGTGCTCAATTTTCTGTACACGTGGGAAGAACTCTGAGACTAATTGAGAAACTTGCGGCACTTTTTGGTTCCACAGTTGCAAGCCAGTTTGTTGCTAGCATCCTCAATAGGGAACTTGTAGTCATATGTGAGCTCCTCACCACGATATATTTTTCGGATTGCAAATATGACTATGTGTTTCTGTCCATCGATGGGGATGACGCGGGAGTAACAGTTGGGCTCACACGAGTGGTTGATGAAGCGAGCAGCATTGCCATGCATTGTGGCATCCACAACCTCAGAGTCATCTATACGGAACATGTAACAACCAATTCCCTACAACGGAAAGCAATTGTTATTGTCAAGGGTTTAGGTGTGGTTATTAGACTAATACTGCAAAATGCCCAAAAAACACTTTATAGTTAATAACATCATTTTTTTTCTTCTCACCTTTCCTTCATAATACTTTTCTCTTTTGTCAGTCAAAGTGGAACGGATAACGTTTCCTGAGTACTCGATTACCATTTCTCCGGCATCAATGGTCCTCTTGCAAAAAAGACCCCGGCCATGTATTGGAGATCTGAAAAGAAGGCATTCTTTACTCAAGCAAGTGCCGTGCGGCTCCACATGCCACCTCTGGTACCAAGGAAATAGGGCCAAATTTAGACAGACAGGGGTAGCGGAAAAAAATTATTTTTGCAAGAAAGCATCACCAAAAGAAAGTTTTTTTCTGTCGTAAACAAATTATAATGATACAAAGTCATTGCCAAATAAACATTGCAGAAATGTAAACATTGCTCTGGTCCATAGTAGGTGTACAGGTTAAGTGGTTAAAGATGAATTGCTCAACAATGGCTATAGCTACAAAGGTAAATGAGGGATTATTTTAAAGTGTTTTTAAGGCTTGTTCAGAATATGAAAATACTTTAGTGTGCATAGTCTGGACACAGGTTCATTTTAAGAAGGACTTGAAAAAATGATCTTGTGAGGTTAGAAATATGAAAGATGCCTTTACTCATCTTTTTCTTAAAGGTACACTGACCTTGAGTGAGCAGTGACGTTTGCTTTGAATACTTATTCCAGGTCATTCTAGGTAGTCAAGGCAGGATTAGAATGACAGCCCTAGAGCTTGTACCGTTAAGGGATAACTGTGTTTTTAGTAGAGTTACTGTATATCTCTCCTACTTCCCTACCCACCAACATCCCCTTCAAGTATTATACTGACATGTCTCCGCTCCACTGAAATCTTTTCTGTGAGCCACACAGGCAGAGCAAGGACAGTTATTATAACACCTGGGGGGTAATGGGTGGCTCTATAAAAATTACTCAAAAGTACAGATATAAGCAAAAGGAGAGAAAATTACTCATGTTACAACCAAAAAAGGTTTCAAAATGTATGGCTGGAAAACATCCTTGCTGACCTTCTACTTTTGATATCAGGTAGTAATTTGCAGAGTAGTCAATGATATACACCCACTCCCATTCAAAAAATAAGTGGTTATCTACCTGTAGACACCTACTGCCTCTTTGGATGTCCTCTTAAGATGACGGAATCTCATTGGCATAGGCAAGTCCATACTGGTGGCCCTCCTTTAAAAAAAAAATAAAGGTGTTAAGTACTGTAATAACTTACTTCACAAGCCCAATTATTATCTATACTACCCTCTTTACAAAACCCCACTGCCACAGTTAAGCTCCACATGGTTCTAATAGTCACTGAATTAGAGAAGAGTCTAAGTAAGATCTTTTTCTTCTTGCCCAATAAGGGACACAGGAATTCTATTACAGTCTAAATATACTGCCGCCTACAAACGTTGGGGCCATGGCACAAAGAAAAACGGAAAGAAGCCAGCCTCTGTATAACCTCACCTCTACGGAACATGCCTCCATTTTGCGAGAAAGCAATACGCAGGGCCAGAGAAAACATAGAGGGGAGGGACCTGTATCCCTTGATGATTGCAAAACAAAAAACAGGACACAGGCATTCTATTACACAGTTGGGACGTGTACAAGCAGTTCAACTAAAGGTGGGCAGCAGCCACTGGAAGGATCATAAAATTTAGAGGACTATCCCATGTCAGAGGTATCTGAAGGAACCAAATCCCATATCAAGAAAGATGGGTAAAAACCCTCAGCAAGACGAAAAACTGCCACAACCAAAAGGAGGACAGAGGACAACTTGTTGTTGCAGAACTGGATAAGAAACCACTGCTAAGGTGGAACGCCTGACTCAAGGAGCATTGGCCCCTGCTAGTGAAAACTGGAGAGTCAACCAGCGAGCCACCAAAACAACTGATAGAGGGGAAACAAAACACTACAAACAGGGAAAAGAGATAGGCATGGATCAAGGGTACCTCATAACCCAACCAGTGCTTCATGACACCCTACCAGAAGGATGAGCAGAAGTCCTTCCATTTAATGGCTACCGTGTTCTTAAACACGATTCTAGTAATCAACCACCTAGTCCCGAACTCAAACTGCATCCTCTGCCAAGGAGCGAGGACCAGACAGCTTATCTACCCTACTGGGAGTAATGGCCAGACTGGGAGCTGTGACGAGCAAAGAACCTGCAGGAACTTCCACAGAACACTGCAAAACAGCTGTAGAGAAAAGATCAGATCCCCCAGAGACCTCTTGTAGGTCAGGGGATCCCTCGAATGAGGGATAGGACTGATGGGTGTTAAATACCATAAAGGACTCAAAAGATTCAAAAAATAGGATCCTGAAGATGAAAAACTCCCCTGGATGAGGGTAGTGAGGTCAAAAGAGTACCATTCTAAAAAGGTAAATCTCTCCCAAGTGAGAAATCAAAGGTCCCTGAGTGTGTTACACCCTTGCAGCAGTCCTAAAGGAAGGAATTTAGCTGTCTGTTAGTAAAATACCAAAAGTGAAAACACTTCCAACCTGTGTGTGGCTGCTAATGTGGATAACTGGTGCATCTATAATAGGAAGATACTATCCATCTATGAGATTCCCCTCAAGAGGGAAGAGTTTTGACACAGTGTCAGGAGGGGCCCAGAATCTTTCAGGGTGTTTTCAGTCCTCATAAAGGAGCTAGCAGCTGCAGATATATGCAAAAATATTTTAAAAAATTTAAAAAGTTACCAAATAGGTAAATACTTACCTGTGTCTTCACCGCTCGCTCCCATCTGTAGATCTGTAACTCTCCAGTGACCATGCAGGATGATGGGACGGGCGCATTCGCAGTAGAAATCTTAAACGGGGAGAAGAGGAGAGACACAGCAGAGCTAAATGCACACAGCCGTGAGCGTGCACATCCGACAGACACTCTGGGACATGAGGAGTCTGCGCAGGATCAGAGACCGGCACCGGCACTGGAGGGACTCCTGAAAACTACTGGAAAGAAGAAGATGATCGGATCAAGAGGCCATTTAAGGTAAGTCCTTAAAGCAGCATTGGGGGGAGGATTAGTGACTTTAATGTCACTTTAACAAAAAGATCTTAACAGCTGAAGGATCTCTAAAAGACCCTAGGATGAATAAAAGCAGACTGATCCTCCAAATGCAGGGTAGGATTCACTGCATTAGTCAGATTAGGAAGAGCCTCCAAAGTCATCAGCGGGTGGTTCAATATAAACCTCATCAAAGCATCACAGTGACGGGGCCCTCAGGATCGGCCTGATTTTGGGGATCAGGAGGATCAAAGACAGACCCTGCCAGAATGGTCCTGGGGTGTGCTCGAAACCTGCATGGGCAGAATGTTCCAGTAAGCAGGCACAAACAAATATGAAGTCCAGATTGGATCTGGAGGTCCCAGTGGATATGGTCCTCAGGCTTGCCTGACAGAGCTGCAAGAGACTCAGATGGGATGACGTCAGAAACTGACCCCAAAGCCTAAACCCTTACTGTGGGTAAACCAGGTAGCAGGAAATTTAAAATGGCGCCCAACAGTGCAAAAAATAGGAAGCTGCTACTGCACAACCAATCTTACCCACAGAGTGAGTATTCATGGACAGGGCCACACCTGGGGCTGTGCCAGAGCTTAAGAAATTGCCAAACGCAGAGACCAGTATCCAAAGCTGACATTCCAGGCTAGCCCCTCACTCGTCCAGGGGGTCCAGATACATACTCCAAATCTAGTGCTGAGGAGCTGCTGAACCAGAGAGCTGCTTTGTAGAGACCAACTTAAGCAGCGGTATGCAAGGATTCTTGAAGTCACCAATGGAAAAACACCAGGAGTGAAGCAAAAAAAAAAAAATCTTGATTAAAGTCGCCAATGTTAGAGGGCTAACAAGAAATACTTTTTTTCAGTGGAGCATAAGAAAAGACAAGACACAGAGAGCGCCTCCATCGCATAAAAACGCTTTAATAAACAAATATAAAATGGTATAAAGGTACTCGCAAAGGACGAATAAAAACAGGCATAAAAGGGTCAGAACGAAAGGTGCATATCCAGCCGCTATTCGTCTTCCCTGGTAGCGAAGTGGTTTACGCGTTTCAGAGGTCACGCCTCCTTCTTCAGAACCAATTGGGGGTGTTTCAATTGGTTCTGAGGAAGGAGGCGTGGCCTCTGAAACGCGTAAACCACTTCACTACCAGGGAAGACGAATAGCGGCTGGATATGCACCTTTCGTTCTGACCCTTTTATGCCTGTTTTTATTCGTCCTTTGTGAGTACCTTTATACCATTTTTTATTTGTTTATTAAAACGTTTTTATGCGATGGAGGCGCTCTCTGTGTCTTGTCTTGCAGTGCTGAGGTTGTTCTGAACCTGGTGAGAGCCGCCCCGTTATCACCCTGCACTCCTCAACATCATTGACTAATACTCTCTTGAACCAAAATCTGCTGGCGCGTTGTTTGATTCTGTCTGCCATAAGAAAAGACGCCCAACCACCGAGGACACTAGAAAAAACCGTGCTGGCTAGAGGGGTTATACGGGCCTGGCTTACTGTTTGCCAGAGTTCCAACCTCCTGTAGGGCACAGTATAACGCGCCTGTAATAGAATTCTTGCGTCCCTCAATGGACAATAAAGATACATAAGTCAAGTAAACCTGTATAAACATATCACACTGTCTGCATTTGCTGGGAAACCTAACTAACCTATAAAACCCAACTTTCCTATATACGGGGCAATGTAAAAAGGGTGAGCTGTTTTGTATTAGCTGCTAGTTAGCGCTATGCATATAAGAATGATTTTGATATTCATACCAACAGGAGAATCCCTTATAAAAGAGATGCATTGGATGTCATAATTTACATCAAGCCTACCCTTCCTATCAGCTACTTAGGCTGAGTTCACACTGTTGCACTGAAGTGATGATCGTGTTTTCTGGTGCATTAGACAGTTTATTCAACATAGCGCACATAAAATGTAGCATAATGCGTGCCAACGCACCACAACAGTGTACCCAACCTATGACATATGCATCCTCAATAAACTACTCTGATTGTCGAGTTTGCCATGGTAACTCATTTACATACTCAAGACTTGGGCAGATCACAACAAATATATAAAATAAAATATCTATTATGTAGGCAGTGTATATTGGACCCCTGGCTGAATGCAAACTTTCTCTTTAAAAGCACCGCCATGGACAAAACATTTGCAAAGATAATTGTAACTGCAGAAATTAAGATGTTTCAGCACTTGAAGCATTAAATAAACAAACTACCTAACACATTTCAGCTGCACCTCTTCCTCATCCTCTTCATTTGGTTTGTATTCGGGAGTTTGACGATGTTTTGAAGCCAAGAAGTTAAACATGTCAAAAGCTGATTTCCTAGAGAACAGGGGGGCAGAGATTAATTCACATTTTACTGGCTAGGAAAAGCACAATGTAAATAGGAGAAAACAATCTATGGTGAAAAATTAAAGTTTACCAATATTTATTATATATTTTAGACATTCCCAAATGAAAAAAGCCAACTAATATCAGATTTAGTCTACCCTAAGTTCAAAACAAAGTTTTATCTGCTCATTGTTATCTCATTAGATTCTCAAAGTCAAGAAGCAACAACCTTTCAGGGCCCATTGATACCGGAAGCGTTGGGGCTACGCTGGACACTTTTTTCCAGTGAATCTCCAATGCATAGAAAAGGCAATTTGCCTCGTCTTGAATGGCCACAGTTCATTCACATTTTCCTGCATGCTGGTGGGCGGGCACTTCAAGCAGAGCTCTATCTGTTCTCCCTTCTTGTATTGTATCTATGGAGAAGGGTGGCCACCCTTATTCCGTAAATGCGCTAGGACAACAGAAGGCCTCCTCTCCGTAACATAGGGGGAAGATGTTTTGTAGTTTACAGAAGAAAACTGGTGAGCGCTGGTAACATTGTTTAAAATTTTAGTTCACAGCACAGAATGCTACAAGCATGTTGGATTCCTAGTAGGGTCAACAGGTATTTCTCTGTACTTTCAGAAAACTTAATTAGCCTGAAAAAGAAAAAGAAATGCAGCCAAAACATCTAAGGACTGGTAAGCAGGGATATTCCATGTTTGTTTTATTCTAGGGTGAAAATACACTTTTATTCAAAATAGTTCAGAGGCAAAAATACCTCACTAATCACAAAATTCTCTCACACACCACCTTTGACTGTCCATTAGTGTTCATATGCTTACATCTTTCTATACAAGCATTACAGAGAGCAAGTTTTGGTACTTTAGCACTATTTGAAAACACAGGGTGAGCTGCTGACTTCAGTCAGTTACTCTGAAATCTTTAAAGTTAATAAATCAGAATCACAGCTAGGGAACAAGAATTTATTAAAGATACAACAAGCCCCCAAACTCTTAGCACAGTTGTTATACAGTACATTTTGGTTGTAGCGCCTCTTTAAACTCATATCTTTATTACTCTACAACCCTAGCATTGTTTTTTCCTTGCTCACCTATGGTACAACTCGGCTCTTGCAGAACCATGGGGGTTCAGAGGGGGCTCCTCTTCTCCAGCTGGATGATGGAAGCGGAACTTGTACCTACGACACCTGTTGGCACCGTAGAGCTGTTCCACCAGGAATACTACAGCATCATGTAAAATTCCAAGCATCTTTAGTGCATTCACACCTATGGATGGAATATACAAGATAGAGGTGAAAAGTGATTAGCAGTATTTTTTTTTTTATTACAGCCAACTATAAAAGGGAGTTAGGGGCAGAGTTTTATTTTGGACAAATAATATAAATGTGATTATTATGTAATTTTAAAAAAACAAACAAAAAACCCTAACTTACCTAAATCCATGGTGGCCTCATCTATATTGTAGAGTGGGAGAGTCCTTCTTTAACTGTCTAAAGTGTTGCCCTTTGGTTGTCCTCTGAAGCTCCAGAACTGCAGCAACATGATGAGGTCACCACAAGGAGACTGGTCAGTGCTGGCACAGACTGCAGCACTGGATCACCAGTTTCCACTGATAGAGGCATTAACGATGGACATGTGACGGCAGATTTCAGTAAGGAAAAAAGAAAATTAGACAGGGTTTGGGGGCTTATCCCCATCCAGCTTATGAATAGATGGATGGGGACAAGAGGGGCCACATGTGCCCAGCAATAGACTTTAACCATTTTGCTGCAGGGGCAAATTTTTCCACCCAGATGACTTGTACATTGAAAGAGAACTTAGGCCCAACCTTTTTTGCCATAGTTCTCTTTAGGGTCAGAGGAGGACATATACTAATGTCCTCCAGTGACCCAAAACTCAGCATATTGCGGGCTGTTGCCCGCTATATGCTGACAGTGCAGAGCCGCGCTGCAGCCGGGACAGATCCCAACAATATTGTCAGGATGCACGTTGCTGCCTGAAAATGTACTTACCCTCCAATCGCTCCTGCACCAGACCTCAGAGGAAAATGTTGTACATCTAAGTTTGGGTGAACATATGCCCCCCCCCCCATAATACAGTGATTGGTGCCCGAGTAGCTATTTGGCAAGCCAGAGAGTTGTGAGGTGTGGGTTGTGTTGATGTGCAGAGTCACGTGTAAGTGTTGTCTCAGGAGGCACTTATTACAGGAATACTCCAGTTTAACATAGAAAAATACATTACCAGCAAAAGATAGTTGCTTTAGCCTTGCGTTGGATCGAGCCTCCTGTACTTTATCAGTCAGAGATTTCCAGGCCTCTGTAAGACAATGAAAAACAAAATGATAACATGATAACAGCCTCAGGAAAAACTGAACTGGGGACAGCTTGCAGCTCCAAGAGCTGTCTAAAAAATCTTATGTCTGAAGCTGGCATCAAATAAGATCTGAACATCCACCTGGCAGAACATGTGAACGAAAGACCAGGTGGCAGTGATGCAAATCTGGGACAGATTAGCCTGGTGTTGAAAAGCCCAAGAAGATTTGAAGAAGAAAAAAAATATAGGTTGGCCATTTACCAGCTCAGCTAAAGATAAGCCACCTGTCCACGCAGGACCCTAGCAAAACGTTTTGTTTTGTTGGTCAGTGTCCAATCCTCCTGTAGGCAGAAGTATAAGCCAAATGTTGAATACTATGTCCCTAATATACCCTATGTCCCTCAATGGATGAGAAAGAACTAGAACTTCAGTACATTTTATCAACCACTGTAGTTCAGGCTGGAGTTTGTCCCTGTCTCTTCAGTGCAAGCTGACAGAAAGAAGATGCAGTCATTATGATCAGACAGGTTTTTGTCTATTATTGGCCAAAGGTCAGAAGATTGATTTGTTCATCAAGGACTCAGGAGTATTTCTTCTTTGTTTTAGCACCTAGACCAAAATGAGCAAGTATCCCTTGCAGTGCAGGAGTAGCCCCACTACAAGGGTTAATTTTTCAATTGTCTGAAGTTCTTCTTTACTTCTTTAATGTGCTGCATGCTTTATTAACATCCATAGAGCACAGTACAATGGCTTGCCCTATACGTATTAGATGTGCCTCCACTGTGGCATGGGGGATTAGGGGTGCTGTGAGAGTGAAGGAAAATGACAGAGGCCAAAGAAGATGTAGACTGGAGTGCAGCAAGAAGTTGGGAAACAAGGAAGAATTTGTATAGCACCAGAAAAACCCCACATGGAAAACAGAACACACAGGTAAAAATAAGAGAAACAGAAGTGCAATATAGAGACAACAGAAGCAGATGCTAGAGAAGCAAGGGCACCGTGAAAATCTGGTGATGGCAAAAGAAACAAGAATGGATGGGCAAACAGGACAAGAAGAGTAGGGAAAGGATGAAAGTGGGTTGGATGAAAGTGGGTTGGAAAGGGTAATGAATGGGGAACAAGAGTATTGTAAGGACTTAGGAGGAACACACAGTACACAGACTGCAAGACACACACTGTATCATGCACAAATGTCACAATGGATGAAAGTGGGTTGAATAGGGTAATGAATGGGTATAAAGAGTACTGTAAGGACTATACTAGTCTAGGATCCACTGAACTGATCCAATCAACCTAGAGGGGTCAGAAGGATTTGTTCCCCTTCAATGTTAAAACACTGGCAACACTTGTCCAAGGGGTTTTGTTTTGGTTTCCTGTAGCTGAATTTGATGAACATTAGTCTTTTTCTAACCTTATTCACTATGTGCTAGTTTTTTTTTAATGTTTCCACCCTTGATCAACATTTACCTGCGTTCAGTATGTACAATAACAAGGACTGTCAATTAATCTCCAAAACCAGAAATAATGTGATTCTACTTTTTCAACTGACTTTCAAATCATTTTTGCATCTTGCCCATAGCCCAAGTTGGGTACCGGAACAGTATTTGTTTTCACAGTTCTTTATTACAATTACTAGCAGTTCTAAGGCAGCTTCATTTGAAGGTTTTATAACAATTTATTAGGTAATACAGTTCCACTTACCTTCAATGCTGTTAGCAGAAATTTGAAAACCATCATCACTTGAAATCTCAAACAGAAGGCCAGTTCTAGGCTTATGCTCCTGTACAGAGTCATGTTGCCCATGTTCATTCTGCAGCAACCGCATCAGAGGAGAACTAAACTCTGCATCATCTTCAGGGTGTTTAAAGTCTGTAGAAAAGAAAGTTTTCACTACAGTACATATAGTAATAACTGACAACCACGTCAACACCACTAGCAAATATAAACAATGCTACCTTCTCAAAACCTTCATACTTTCTCAACAAACACTGATTGTTAATATAATTAAACATTATGCATTCTAGTAAGGTAAGGTGCATGATATATTATAAAATGTGATTAGTAATGCTAAGCTTTACTAATTATACCTAAAAGATATTAAAGAAAGAATGTCATAAGAGAAACAGATGCGGTCACAGCTGACCTCTCCTTTTGAAACTACTGGTTGCCTGGCTGTCATTTTGACCTCCCTTGCGTCAATACTTTGAGTCACTAAACTGGAAAAAATATTCAGATAAAGACTATATTTGAGTTAACTCCGTATATATTAAAGCTAGTAGTTAAGGCTAACAGCCAATCCAGTAGAAATCTCAGAAGGTAGTAAGCGCATGGGTGGCCCCTGTGATACTTCAGATGGCTTAACTAAAGGTAGGTGTGTGTGGTGTGTCAAAACTGAAGAAAAATATTTTCTAAAACTTTTTAAAAACATCATTTTTTTTTTTTTTTGCAGCCCCTGTTATAAATTAACAGGAAGCCTCTATACTGAGTACTTTTTTTACTATGTCCACAATCATGAATGAACAGGAAGTTATGTCGAGCACTTCCTGTTCATTCATAATTGGGGACACAGTAAACATACTATGCCGTCAATTATTTACAAGCACTCAGGGATCAGTACTGATTGCAGAGCGCTCGTAAGCCGCTCTCCATCCTGACTCGCTGTTATAGGAGGCTGAGCAGGGGCAGTGCAGGGAGGAGAGCTCGGTCTCCTGTTGCACGGCTGACAGCAGACTCCTCCCCAAATCGCTCTCCATTCTGATCTACAGGAGGCCAAGCGGGGAGGTGTGGAAGGAGAGCTCAGCCTCCTGTGACACGGACCGCTGACAGCACTCTCCACCCCACCCCGCTCGGCCTCCTCACATCTGTGCATCTAACCCCAAGAACAATACTTTAATATCCTGCAGCTTACAAGTCCTTAAAGTGACACCTAACTCAGGAGTTCTCTTAAAAATGCATTTAGGGGAATGGTCAATGATCTGATGTAATACAATAAAAACAAAACACCTACACATACTAAACATTACTGGTTTGGAGAAACATCTATTTAATAAATAGACAAAATCTGTAAATCTAATAAAAATCTATTTCATTTGATAAAATCTGCAAATAGAGGGAGGCATACCTTCTGGTTTTATTTCTGGCTGACTTTGCTCCTTCGCAGGCAGCTCCAAGTTTACTACAGCTGGTGATTGACTACATAAAACAAAAAAAAAAGATTGCTTTACTTCTCTCATTCATCCCCTACAGGAAATCCAATGCCAGAATAAAATGAAGTAAACATTTGTGCTATCAAGTTAGTATCAACAGAAGTGAACATGCTGAACGATAAAGCACACATTTTAAGAAAAGGTAATTACTAAATTTAACCCCTTCGTGACTGACGACGTACAGTGTACGTCGCCAGCATCGGGGCTGTTTAAACAGACTCCCGGCGACTTTTATAAGTTTACAGTTGTGACAACCTCTTGCTCTAAGCATATAAGGCAATAAAACCATGTTCAGGTCCTTACTTGGCAGTATTGGCAGTATGTATTGGAAGCACTTTAAAGGTGCCCTTTGCATTATGTGTCCCTTTGCCTTGTTTGGTTTTTACTGACTGAGCTACTCGACACCAGCATTCTTGTAGAGACTGACAGGGTTATTCACAAAAGGGTGAAGAGTTTGGAGATGGCAGGAGAAGTGAACAATCTAGGACAATATACTGGAGTACTGGAAAGTGAGCTGAATTGGAGAATTTTTCCAAATCAGCTATTTTGGCCTACATTGTTCACTTCTCCTGTCTTCTCCTAACTTTTCACTCTTTTGTGAATAAGCCTGTGAGTGTCTGAAGGAGAAAAGGCACAAAGCTGGCACACACTGAGATCGCCATCTTCACTACACAGCCCTGGATAGGAATGCTACTGAAGCTTGATGAAGAAGTTGCTGGAGGGGAAAATGATGCTCTGGACGGCCATGCACCTGGATGGTTTGTTACCTTTGTGTACTTGGAGTCCAATCAGCTAAACTCACTATTATTCCTCACTAATCAGCAATGCAACTTATTGCACCAAAATAACTACTGCAGCTGAAATTAGTGCTTTACTATATACTGTAAGTATGTTCCTATATAGCAAGTTCTCATCTATAGCACATATCTACATGTATGGTTCTGGATGTGATTCTGCTTAATTTTATGTCAAAGCCTGCAGTTTTCTCCCGAGGATATGCATGTTCTATGGAGCTTTTATTTTCATGGAACTGACAGATGTATGTTTGTAGCTTGGAGTCTAATACAGTGCTGACACCATTATAGTCGATGGAAGCTTCTATGGCTCAATTATTGGGCAGGGAGCTCTACTTTGCGAAGACTTCATCTTCAGTTACCATTTGGAACTATACATGTGCAATACAAAGAGTGCACTTGCTCCTCATTTCATACTTAATCTCTATATAACTGATTTTCATCTGCCTTTGGAGTATTTTGTGTGGTGTCATGCTAATCCATGCTGCATTCTGACATGGATTATTCGCACTTTGCACATTTTTTACATTCATGCTGACATGCTTCGAACTTTACTAGTTTGTCAGTGTCTTGCCTTTGTCGTTGATTGCCTTAAAATAGAACTACAGCCAACCTTCTTTTTTGGTTATAGTTCTCTTTTGGATCACAAGTAGATTTACTTTCACGACCTGTGAAAGTCGTGCTGCAGCCGAGAAAGATCCTGACAATATTGTCAGGACCCAACCCGCTGCCTAATTGACAGCTGGCTTTGCTTTTCCAGAGCCAGTTGTGCCTGCCCCCTCCCCCTGTCTGTCCCTCCAATAAGCGCTGAAAGTCACCACTCTCGGCAGGGAAAAGCCGTGAGCTGAGCAATCTCCCAATAGTTCTTCTTTAACACTTTGATGTATGCTGCTGTACAGGAGTAGGGCAGTCTGGGTGGGGGTGACAGTGTTGTCACAACATTTTAATAATACAGTGGGATATTTTTAGTTTGGGATTTACATTAAAGATTATTGTACTATATGATTCAGTAAAGTGTATTTTGATACCTGCTTCTGTGTTTTTTTATATGCTGCTCTGTTTAGGACAGTGATACCCACACACACATCCTAAACAGAGTTTACAATTATACCTGAGCAAGGATTTGTAAATCTGTATAGCCAGTCTTGTGTATTAACACCGTCGCCATACTGCACAGCTAAACAAGTGATGCACTTCTGTTTTGGCTCTCCATCTCCAGCCTGCTTGCTGGACAATGAAGAACAATCACCTCCTCCAGAGGCAGTGATCTTCCTGCTTTGGACGTTTCTAAGGCTCCAGCTGTTTATACTTAAACATAAGCAACTGCATACGTGCCACCACTATTACACTGCACATACCATGAGGGCTGTTAAACAAAGCTCCACCAAGTCATGTTTTGCTTTTGCATTTCAAGGATGTACACCCCTCCTCAGAACTGGTAACATCTCAAAAGCATAGATAACTAAACAGGAGCAAGTCACCTGCAAGTCAACTCTGTTAGCCCATTACCGACCCAACCACTTCAATAAAAGCAAGAAATAGACCTAAGCTCATAGTACAAGTAGGTGGACCAGGACAACTTGATGAAAACAAAACTGTCTACATGTGTGTATATATTACTATCTAAGTTATTAAACTGTGTAAAAATCAAGCTCTCCATTTAAACCTCTTTGGGTAATATTGTTTACTGTGTATATCTCAAATGCACCCGGTCCCATCATTTCTTTAATGGGTCCTTGCATTGAAATGAGTAGATCACATAGTCAAAATGTAAAAGAAAAAGGAGAGGTCAGGTAATTAACTACTTAATGATCAAATGTTTTAGACCCATAGATCCAGGTGTGCAACCTCTTTATAGCTAGCAATGCGAGGAGGCTTTCAGTACCAGTTGTGAGAAAGGGGATATGCCCCCATAATATGTAAGCAGGTGACATAGCTCAGTCTGAGACGACAGATATAAATTGGGTTTCTTGTCTGTCACTCTCCTACTCCAACAACCCTTATCAACTCTAGATGCTAAAGTTCAATGAATTACAAGAACTACTATTTATATGATCATGTCACATAGACCCCCTTTTATTTTCAATAGGACTATTGTAGACTTTCTACCATGCAATGTACAATCCTACACACTACAGGTTCCCTAAACATATCTATACAGCTCCTCTCTTTTATCTGTAGCATATTACTTTTATGAACTATTTGTTCAAGGAAATTCTATGTGTGTATGTTGTGTATGTTGTGTATACACACACACATTACATAAAGTGTATAGCTGTGCAACTCATTTTGTTTCACTTCTCACCTTGTCTTCTCGGCCTCAGTCACGTGTGAGGATCCTGTCTTTACATTGTAGCCATCGGTTTTAGGTACAAGGTTTCTAAAATGGCAGAATAGTTTTTTTACTCCCTTAGTGAAGAAGTCACATTTACATGTAACATCGTAGCAGTTTATTTATCTTAAAATGAATAAAAATGTGAAAAAAATCTGTCTTCTAATTTAACCTACCTACCAGGACCATGATCTACAAAGAAACCCAGATTTTCATAATTAATGTACCAATGTGACTCTCCTATATGTTGCATGAACATTTTGAAGTGAACATGTGCCCAGACTATACACACTAAAGTATTCTGAACAAGCTGAGAATGCCATTTAAAATGAGCCCTCTTTCAGCATGGTAGCTACAGGGATTGTGCAGAAATTATTCTTCCTATCAATTTCTTTAGAAATTGAGTCTTGAGGGCCTTTTAATTTAAAAAAAGAGCAAGGGTTTCTAAGGTGTTAGAACCGAATTAAACCTGACTTTAGAGCTTTTGTTGATAAATAATGACTTCACATCTTTTGGAACTAAAGAGGAAGGTGTTGGCTTGTTTAAAAGCTCTTTTACTGCTTGTTAAGAATATCTAAATCATTTAATGTCTACAGCTTGTGCACAAGTAAAGTCCACAACTTTATACATGAAAATAAAAGAATTTGATACTACTGTGTCATCTGAAAAGGCACGTTACTTTAAACCCCAATATCTATATAATTTATTAAAAGGCTAAACATTTAAGGGTCCAAAAACGAAACCTTGGGATGCAAGATTTCTCGCACACTATTCAGGTTAGGAATCATTTAAGGTAAAGACTACAATAAGATTTTACGGCAAGTACAAAAATCCTATTTTCTTTCTCACTGAGGCACACAGGAAGTCAAACATCTAAAAGGAGCTCAACGGAGGGGTGGGCAACGCAGCAAACAAATCATAACAAGAGAAAAAAAAAACAGAATTGGAGAATGTTTGAAGTACAAAAAGCCACCTGAAGGACCTTAGCTGACATCGGATAAGGCTTGAACATCCACCTAATAGAACTAAGGGGAACATGTGAACAGAAGACCAGGTAGCAGCTTTGTGAAACAGTTGCCTAATGTTGAAAAGCCCACAAAGCACTTACAAATCCAGTAGAGTGCACCTTGACAAGAATGGGTGAAAGCCGATCCTTGAGCACAAGGCACGGATGATAGGCACGCAAAAATGGTGGCACAAGAAGCTGGTGCACCTTTTCAAGGACCACCCTTGATAACAAAAAGGGAATCAGTCTGAAAGAAGCAGTGACTAAGATAAACTCTCACAGCCCGAAACACACCCAAAAGGGAGTAATATTTATTTCTGGAAGAGTTGAGCTGAACAGAGGGATGGAAGAACAATGTCCTGGTTGAGGTGACATGCAGAAGCTACTCAAAACCTCTAGGGCTGCAACAACTATTCGACATAATCGATTATTGAAAAAGTTGTCAACTTTTTCAATCATCGATGAATCGGCTTCCGATTGGTTGGCCCTGTTCACGGCTCCACACACGCTGCACGCCACACCTCCTCCCCACCTCACGCTCGCCGCTGCCAGACCCGCCTGCATCCACACGCCGCACCTCCTCCCTGCCTCACGCCCAAATCCACGATCGGCACAGGGACGCGGGAAGAAGAAGTAAGGAGGAGCAGATGTGGGCGGATGACAGCCGCCGATAGACAGGCCCGATCTCAGAAACAAGTTGCTGGAAGACTGATCAGATAAGCCTGCACTTTCCCACACATGGTGCTCTATAATGTATTGCTGGGAGTGGTATTCCTCTATAGCTGATGGTACATTGTGCTGTATATTATACCATCAGCTATAGAGGAATACAAATCCCAGCAATACATTATACACTGTATGTATAATGTATTGCTGGGATTTGTTGTATTCCTCTATAGCTGGTGGTATTCTGCATTGCGCTGTATAGAGGACTACAAATCCCAGCAATAATACATTATACAGCGAAATGCAGAATAACACCAGCTATAGAGGAGTACAACAAATCCCAGCAATAATACATTATACAGTGGTGCAATGCCGAATACCACTAGCTATAGAGGACTACAACACCCAGCAATAGTACATTATACAGCGCAATGCAGGTTGTCAAAGTATCCCAAAATAGGGAGACCACATAACTGCAGCAGGGCTAATACTGGGACCATCAATATTGATGTCCACAGAAGCCAGAAAGTCTCCCTAGTGAAGAGAGGCAATGACAGATTTGGAGGATCCCATGCTGATTTTCCATACCTGAAAGACATTGAGAGCTGAGATTGAGATCCAAGATAGGGTGAATGTCCCCCTTGGGTTTGGGAACAATGAACAGGTTGAAGTAAAATCACTAAAACTATTCTGCCACCGAACTAGGGCAATGACTCTTTGATTCAGAAAACACTCAAAAGACCTCGATGGAGATATGCTCATTTGTGTGGTGACATAGGGAGGTTGGAGGTGAAAAGCAGAGGAGACATGGCTTGACCAAGTAAAGTCACAGCCAGGATCAGGGAGAAGGTCAGGACACACAAGAGAGAGCAGAACTCTAGAAATGGAATACAACCGCTTATCTGTTGGGTCTTTAAGAACAAGGGCATCCTCTAACAAAATAATAAACATCTTGTTAAGGCGGGACAGAGCCGGATCCACAATGAGAATGGACCACTTCTGTACAAAATCCTTATCCCAACAGACACAAGGATATAAAGTGCTTGAGGGAAGCAAATAACTTATGAAGATGCTTCCAATCTCTATAGAGAAATAGTTTAGAAAGTGAGTGCAAAGGAAGTCTTTGTGGCCTTTGGATAGTTAAATAAACCAGGGCTGGAGACAGCTCTGGTAGAAGTAACAAGCGGTTTCGCTGATTTCAGAATGATGTACACTGCATCAATAAGCTGAAACAGTCTAGTTTAAATTGGGGGTAACCGCAGTAGACTGACTCCTCAGGGGGAAGGTCATCCGTCAAGCACAGAGTCTCTTCGGCTAGTGTCTTCAAAGTCTCTGTGGCCACAAGCAAATCAGATATAAAATCTGCAAGAGAGGAAGTGGGAGCACACTGGTGGCCTCATTAATCTTTTTCTGTTACCACAAATAGCGTTCCCTCAACATTTTAAAGATTGTAGTTACTGGATGAAGACATTGATCCCTTTTTAAATATGGAAACTACATTTGTTTTGTGCCAATGTAATGGTAACACGTCAACTCTTTCAGGACTTGAGGGTGTGTGCCGTGTGGTCAAGGTGCTTTAGGGACTGCATCAACCTTTAAAAAGGGAGGCAAAATTAGTTAATAGAGCTCGTTTTAGATGGGTAACATTTAAAACCCAGTATTTACAGTGAAAAAGACAACCAAAAATGTATATTCAAGTTTTTGGTACAATGGAGAAAGGTTAGAATTGCTATGCGAGTCCCTGTTTCAGAGATCCACTATCGTTTTCATTCCTGGTAACCACTTTCACAAGGACAGAAAAGAACAAATGTAGAAGGGAAAGCATTTAAAGATGACAGTTATATCAAATGTTTTTTCCTTAAAGAGACCCTGTCAAAAACTTTAAAAATGCAGGGTCCATGCTGTTTGGCTGGTTCGATGCTGATTGGCCGGGAAGCCAGCTTTCCAGCCAATCTGTGTCGAGCCAGGCAAACAAATCTGATAATATGGCAACATGACCCCCACCCTGCAGACAAATAATTCCCCTCACATAGATCCTCAGCAGCAGCCATTACCGTACTAGTCCTGAGGGCCGATCACGTGGGTGCTGTACACACAGGAGACGTGGGCAGATCCGGGAGAGCTTAGGAGAGCGATGTCTGCCCAGCTGGCCGAGGGACTGGTACGGTAATGACCGCTACTAAGGATCTGTGTGAGGAAAATGAGGTGCCCGCAGGGTGGGTGTCGTGTCACCATATTGTCAGATCTGTTTGGCCGACCTCGATGGCGATTGGCTGGGAAGCCAGCTCTATGCTACCGGAAGTACCAGTATGGTATATATAAATATCTTGACTCGTACTTGATACCGAAAAACCGGTATCGGTGTATCCCTACAATATAGAGTCCCTTGAATGACAGCTCAGTCTGCTGACATCACATCTAAGAACTGCAATAAATCAATGTGCTCACTGAAAATACAGTATACTACACAACACTAAAAGAAAATGAAAACAAAAGGGAACAGAGCGCCACCACCGTGTGTAAAATCGTTTATTACAATAAATAAAACAAGGGATAAAAGTACTCACAAACGTTTTCATCAGGCTTAACAACAAACGAGAGGCCACACTGTCTGTTAACCCAACATGGTATCGCCCCGACTATGTAACACGGTAGCCTCCGGTCACATCACCGTCCACCGGCCGCAGTCAGCCAAGATTGACTTTATCCTGATGAAGGGGGCTTGCCCCTGAAACGCGTCAATCTTTGCTGACTATGGCCGGTGATGTGACCAGAGGCTACCGTGTTACATAGTCGGGGCGATACCATGTTGGGTTAACAGACAGTGTGGCCTCTCGTTTGTTGTTAAGCCTGATGAAAACGTTTGTGAGTACTTTTATCCCTTGTTTTATTTATTGTAATAAACGATTTTACACACGCAGGTGGCGCTCTGTTCCCTTTTGTTTTCTATGTTCGTGGTGGAAGCCCCAGAGCCTGGGATGAGCAGTACCTCAAGTCTGTGTGAAAAACTGTGATAAACTGTTGAAAACTTTGAGTATGCAACAGCAAGTGGATCGTTCAGCTGGCACCCATTAGCGCCAAGAGCTAAAGAAAACTTTTTGTCTAAGAGAAAATGAAGGCTGTCCCTGCTGACATCTCCTCCTGAAAATACTAGTTGCCTGGCTCTCATGTTTATTCATTTGCTTCAGTAATTTCTGAGGTACCAACTTGAAGTATGCAATTCAGTAGTTGACCTCACTCTGACTTTCTAACCTGCATGCCAAATCCAGGTCAGTGACTAAGTAATACTGGGTTTACAAGTAAATACAAGCCTAGGCAAAGGTTTAAAAAGGAGAGGCAAATAAACATAACGTACCCTGAGGAGATCGAACCAGACGATTTTCCAACTTGGTTCTCATCCTGTACTGTAGCTGGGCTTTGTCTGTAGTGTGAAGTCTTGAGTTTTTTCTTACTTATCTTGTCCAGAACCATGGTCTGCCTCTTTCCTTTGCTTTTTGTCTTCTGGATAGTTGCAGCTGTTCTAAGCATGCTAGCAGCTGTTGAAGTGGTGTTTGATTTTATTAATCTTCTTTCTGAGTCAGGTGATGGTTGCACAGAAGAGGACCTGTGGCCTGAATTACCAGTAGTTGGAGGCCTGATAAGTCTGTTCATATTATGAGTAACTGTAAATAGGCAATCAGGATCATTCACTGTCTGGGCCAGTGTCATACTCACAGGATGAGACGTGGGCACTACACATATGCTAGAAGTGGTTGTCATAGCCCCTGCAGTAGGCCCCTGAGAGAAAACCCCTGACCCCGGAGGAAGAGTCACATGATTGTCCTGAATACTCAAACTCTGTTGATTTGTCTTTATTAGAAAGTTACTGACTTGCCCGATTTCTGAAGGACCCAAAATTCCTGGAGTAGCTAGAGTGACATGACCAGTCACCGGAGAAGCTGTGGCAGTAGTCTGCATTGACACAACATTTAGGACTGGTGAGCCAGTAGCAATTGTTGGCATTTTATTAGTAATCTGCCCAGAATCCAATCCAATAATACCAGGCACGGTTTCACCAGAGTTTGATGGCACCCCACTCTGTGGAAGCAGCGGAGTCTGGTCAAAGTACATAACTCCAGACTTGGATCGCTTAATAATATTCGGTATATTGCGATGGGGTCCTGCATTTCCAAGACTGCCTAGGTCAATCAAATTAGGGTGAGTGGGCAAACTACCAGCAAGTTGTGGAGCAGAGAAGTTAATAAGTGTCATATTAGAAATCACTTCAGGAGCATGCCTCATTCCTGGACTAACGGAAGGTGCCAACTTTTTGTTTTTCTTAGAATGAAGGCGAGAAATCTGTCTCTTCTTATTCATGCCAGCAGATGAAGAATTTGAAGAACGACTCAATTCTGATCTCTGACCGGATTCTGAAACGAGAAGTTGGGGCTCAGGAGCGGGCTGAACTCCAATAAGAAGTCCTGGAGGCTGATTGGTGAGACTAGGCAAGAATGTCGTCTGTGGAGCAGCAGGAAAGGATTGTAGGTGTGGGTGGTGAGGCACTGGGAGGAGACCCTTGCTGACAGGTGGAAAAGTCGAGGTTAGTGAAGGACTTAAATTAGTGGCTAACGTTAGTCCTCCTCCCACTGAACTCAACACTGGAACATCTCCATCCCGGCGATTCGAGCCAGAAGGTACAGATGATGTAAGCTGAATTTTCTGTGTACTAGTCAAAGGCTGTAAAACATACAGAGGTTGCATATTCTGATTCACAACAACTAACTTTTCAGCTGTGGACTTAAGGTGAGCAGGTGTGTTCTGTACGGCATTATTTGACATCTGAGATGTGCCTGGGCTTTCTGATTTGTTTGGGATGTATTTCTGGTTCTGAACTGGTACAGTGGGTGACACTGGAACTTGCAAATTTGGGGTACCGCTATTTTGCCTTAGTTCCTGATTCCCTGTGTGCTCTACCTGTGCACATGGTGGGCTGGAAATATGTTCCGGTTCTAAACGCCCTGGCATGTATCTATCTGCAGTTATGTGACCCTCAGCTGTCCTCTCTACACTCTGTGATAATAGAGATGAATCTCGCTCACCGGGTGTCACAGACTTTTCTGTAACAGTCACCCTCTTCCTGCTTGGTTCTGTTGCTGGCATGGACAGTAAGGAACGTTCACTTGGGGACAACTGGGACTCTGGGATTACGCCTAATCTGTTATGGTTCTGGCTAGGAAGAGCTGGACTTCGAGTAGTGAGCACAGACAGGTCAGAAGGCAGCTCTAGTGGTAGTTCAAATTGCTCCTCTGCAGACATTGCTGATGTCACAGCACCATCTACTGGCTCCGATGATGGAAGCTGCTGTGAGAATACCTCAAACAAGCCCATATCTTTCCCACGGTTGTTATCCAAGCCTAAGCCATCTCCCAGTGTTAATAATTCAGAGGAAGATGACTCTGGGCTTTCTCCAAGTGCTTGCATGGATGGAGTATTCTTTAGCACAAAGTCCATAATGTCAATAGGAAGAATATTTCCACAGTCATCACTATTGTTATTGTCAGAATCAGATTTCAGCAGCTCTGAATTGAATGTGTCCAAGATATTTTTGTCAGCTCCACCATGGTTTCGTCGTGAAGCTTCCAAGCTCAGCTGTGGCTCTAGAGTATCTTGCTTCACAGCATGGCAATTGTCCATTTTGGTGTCAGGAGCCTTGCTGCCCTTACCAGCATGAACTTTTCCCAACTGTTCTTCTGAGGCAACCAGTTTTTCTGCTCCATTTTGTTTACTTGCCCTTTTACCAGAATGGCTAGATTTTCCTGGGGTGGTACTGATGCTGGCATCACTTTCTGTCCCATCATCAACACCATCAAGTTGGGCAATTCTATGACGATCTCCTTCATCTCTGAATAGAGAACGCACAGTTAGCCTATCATCCCCAGATGCAGAAACTACAGTCCTAGAGAAATTGTAGTAATACACATCATCTTCTTCAGATGAACTCAAGTCATCAGCACCATCCACTTGACCCTCAGCTGATCTTTTCCCCCTTTTCTTTCCTGTAGTGCTGCTGCAAAATGGAAGGTCTTCCTCACCATAAGAACGTACACCATACAAAGGTGTTAATCCAAAGAACATGTTTGAGCGGGCTCTTGCACTCCTCCTTGGGTAGCGTCTTTTATATGAGCTGCCTTCTTGAGATTTGCTTCCATCTTGGAGAAGTAGGTTTGAGTCCTGTGAGTAAGCAGTGCCATCCTGAGGCTCAGAGTCCATGTTAGAGCTAGTATGGTTTGTACCTGGATCTCCTGTACCTTCAGGACTATTTTGGGACTTTACAGCATCTGGAAGCTCTGTAATCCTGCCAGGAGACAATGCTTGTTGGTCTGATTTTCTATCAATTGAGTTGTCAGCACTTGATGACTCTAACTGCGAAGTACTTCCAGTGTGCGCAGTCATCTCCGTTTTGTTGTGTGAACGCCTTTTGAAACCAACAGTCTCCAACAATGAATGTTTCCCATTAGTATCTGCTTGGATTTGGCTCTCCCCTGATGAATGTTCAGAGTCAATAACGGACTTAACAGGACATTTTTCTTGAGAATTCTCCATGACCCTATTCTTTGACTTTGGCAGTCGATCTTTGGTCACTGAAACAGGTACACGAGTTTCTTTACCTTCTTCAGGGAATACTGTCTTTTCTGTCAGAGAAAATACTACATGCTGATCCTTTTCTCTTTTTATTGCCCTGCCTTGCTGTGGAGCAGAAGTAGCTTTGGAGATTAGCGCAAATGATGCTGCATCTTTACCAGTACCAGATCTGCCTGTGCTAAACTCAGGGATAGATATATCTTGTGGTTGTTTATGTGTTTTAGGGTTTTGGTTAGTAGAGGGCTCTGAATTTCTATGAGCAGCTGACTTTACCTTTTCAATTTTAGGAGCTGTGACCTTTACAGCTGTATCTGAGGAGCTAGATTGCCGTGTTTCTAATTGTTTGTCCCCTTTTGCCATTAAAGTTCCATGGCCGTCATTTGGTGAGCAGCTGTTCTGAAGAGGAGAAGTCAAAGAGCCGGCTCCTGTCTCCATTTTGTTAGACTTGTGATCTGTCATAGTAATAGTATCTGCTGTAGGTTGGTTGGGCTTTGTAGTGTCAGTTTGAGAGGGAGAAATCAAACGTGGCTTCTGAAGCTGTGGTACTGAAGAGACACCATGCCTACATGAGCCTATGCTACGAAAGCCAGAAGAAAGTAAAGGGTCCCCAACTGTCACAATTTCATGTGCAACAGGGCTACCTGAAAAGAAAAACACAAACAAATTGTAAAGAGCATAAACAGACATGTTTTTCTGATATCTAATAAAAAAAATTAAGGACTTCCAGAAGGTGAAAACTACCGTATTTTTCACTCCTTAAGACGCACTTTTCCCCCCCCCCCCCAGTTTTCGGGCCCTGGGCGAGTAGTTTTTTTGTACATTCAGCCCTGCTCCGGACAAGCAGAGCTAAATGTACAGTGGGAGGCGCTGCTCGTTTAATACAAGTGATCTAATTAGATCACTTGTATCAAATCAAGCGGCGGTGATCGTGTACACCCCCCGCCGTGGTTTTCGGGGCCCTCCGCTTTTCTGGGGGACACGTGACCACGGCATAGCATAGGAGCTCACCATATAGTCCCTAGAGCAGAGATGAAGAACGTCCGTTCTTCGTCTGCTCTGTGTGATTACCGAGACTGTGGCGCTGTAATTACAGCGCCACCTGTCTCAGCTGTGACTAAATACAGCTGTCACAGAACACAGAATCCCTGCGTCCTATGGTGCGGAGTGTCTTATCGAGTGCAAAATACGGTAACTACTGTTTATGCCAATAAATGTGTCTAAAGCATTTCATCTTGCACTGTAAGTCTTTCTTCTCAATGGAAAAAATGCTGTCCCTTACAAATCATTCCATACTATTATGACATTATTTGCAACTATGATTAAGTACTACATTAGGTTGCAACTATATCAGGTAGCCACTACATCAGGTACCTGCTGATGGAAGAGGCCGAGGTCCAGGAGAGCGCTGATTATGGGGATATCTGTGGCGAGCCCTGCTCCCACCAAGAGTCCGAGAGGAAGCCAAAGAAACTGAATTACAAGGTGGTGGTTCCGGCGAAGGTAGACCATAAGATTTTGTTTCCTGAAGATTTAATTCTGAAAAAAAGGAGTAGTATTAATAGATAGTATTTTACCGTGCATTCATTTAGAATGAATACCAATACTACAAAAGTAAATATGTTAAATTAACATCTTGTAAAAACCCACTATTTTGTTAACGGTTACAACGATGAATTAATAGCCATTCCTCCTCCTATACTGCGCATTTACGAGTTTGTTCTATCAGTTTACATAACATGCTGTGAAAATTTTTTTTTAAGAGAACAAGGTTATTTTTAGGAATTAAAAATTTCCTACACCTGAGAGCCAGTTAAGTTGAGATATCTTCTATTGTCACTTGTCAGTAAGAGAGGGTGTATGAACTTGCCTATTTTACGATTGTTGTTTTTACAGGCATTGATTGTACAGCAGTTTATAATCATTTTTATTTATTCACACAATGCAATCCTTTTTTAATCTAAAAAAAAAAATGTATGCATTAAAAATATAAAACCTCTAAGCCTTTTAAAACCACATCATTACTAGAATGCAGCAATTGTATCTGCTCTGTGTGATCAGTAAGTACACACAGTGCTTCCGGTCTCAGCTGTCACAGGCCGGGCTGCACAGGAGATCGATCCCCTGTATCAGAGGGCAGGGGAGACTCTCTATAATTTTCTAACTGAAATGTATTTATTTTTTGGGGGGGAGGGGGGTGACACCTTGAGTTACCACTCCGGTTGACACCAACCCCAGTGAAGCCTCTGCTTTGGCGCTGGGATTCAGTCAGTTTTGAACAGCTTACAAGCACCTGCTGTGTGTTTAGAAGGCTGACAGGTGGCCAAGTTTCTGTTGCCACAGAAAAAAGGGGTCAGGAGCTGTAATTTCAGTGTTCCTAAAAATTCAAGATCTATCTCTCCACAATGTCTACAGACACATAGGTCAGTCAGAGCTTGTTTCATTGTTTATTTCGATTATATGTCAATATTTCAATGTGCATAGTCTGGGCACAGGCCTACTTTAAGTAATCTCAATCCATCTCAATGAGTCCAATCTCTTGGCCTGCATACTTGTTCAAAGTCAGTGACTCAAAGAAATAAATCTAGAAAATCAGAATGAGAGACCAGGCAAGTAGCATTCTCGAAGAGATCGAGAGAGAGATTGAGAAAGAGAGAGAGATCCAAGTTGTCCCAAACTTGTGAGGCCCAAGTTTTTTTCTTGTGTCTTACCATGCACATCACGGAGTGGAGGACTGTGAGCAATAGTGCGGTTCGCTTCATGATGCACAGTGCTATTAATATCAGGCTCAGAGGGTGGCGGCCTACACTCCAGAATCTTGCAGGTATACACACACCGCTTTCGAGCATCTGTTGTACTCCAGTAGACTCGTGAACATCTAGCCAAAGAGAACATATATTTACTTTACAGGGCATATACAACATAAATCAACATTAATCCTAAAGATGTGAATACAAGATGTGAAGCAGGTATTAAATCTCAAAAACTAAATAGTTTAGCCTTTTTTTAGTGCTAGTCAATAGAATAGTCAAAAAAGGACAAAATATGGGAGCTACGACTTAATATTTAGCTCAAGTAGGACAATTAAGAATTTTCAGTAAACGCATGCACACAAACAAAAGATCCATACTGATATCCAATTGGGAAGAGCTTATCCTCACAATCCGATAAATCACTCAAAATTCCAAGGCAATCTACTGTCATGGAACCTGTGGGAAAAAAACAAAACAAATTGAGGACAGGTTGTAATAGCATGCATCCCCTCCAATTCTGGGATTTCCCATTTCCCATTTTTCCCATTTCCCATTTTGTCCAAAAAAGCCTCACCAATCATCATATGTATATTGTTTGGCTCTAAACCACTCAGAAATTTTCTACGCAGATTAATCCCTTCAAAGTCAACAAATACTCTTCTGAGAACCTCAAAACTGTTGTCAGACACAATCTGCAAAAAAAGAAAAGCAAAGTACTAAGAAAAAACCCGATATAAACATTGTGCACACAACATGCCAAATGCAATGGGTGGTCTCACTGCATCAGTTCACTAGGTGAAAGGGAGCATCAAAGAACATAAATTTGGACCACATTTACATATAATCCTATTGGCATATATTAGTTATAAATATATGTGAACCAACAAGCATGGAGATGTATTATTACAAAGATTACCAATAAATATATCTATGGGTCCTATTCTAACACCTCATGCCTGAAGGTTCATACACACAACATTCAAACGATCAGACCTTTAAACCTGAATAAAACACAAAAACTTTATTAGGTTTACAGATATAACAGTTTCATAAAAGCTTTTGTGTTTCTCAATAAGGTTTAAAGGTCCGATGCTTTAATTGTATGAATGTTGTGTGTGTGTGAGCCTTCAGAAATGAGGTGTAAAAGGGAACATGGCAATCAAAATTTAGCTTTAGATCAGCATTTCATCCAGGCATTGCTCTAGTGCACCAGTCACCATCCTTCCTGCATCTCACATAGAAAGAATGATATAAATAAAATGCCACAATACTCAGATCTGCTCTAAATCTTTGAGTGTGTGAAAGTTAAGACATGGACTCCATTTTGTTAATCATAATGTCAATATTGCACGTTGTCCTTTGTTTCTGTGATTTTTATTGTGGTATTAATAAATACTGTAAATGGCCTAGGGTAGGAAGTAGATGTCAACTTACCGTATACCTTGTGATGTGCTGAATATGATGCTACATGTATACTCTCTACATGCATTATCAATAATCCCCATTTTTAATTTGAGTGACTTCGGTTAACAATAGTTCAGCTTCCAAAGCAAGCACGATTGGGCATTCAAGAAACAGGGAGGACATTGCAAAGCATAGTGCACTCTGACACTGTGGAGCTGTGTGTGCTTATTTTGCACTGGACAGCAAATTAAAGCACCACTGTAAAGTCACCTGTTTCTCCTACCTTTGCTCCATTAAAGCTCTCCTAATGTAGAGAGCTTTCATTAACATTTTCATGAGCGACTGACTGTGTTGATTTGACCGCCTCCCGGCTGGCCATTTAATTACAGCGGATGGCCGGGAGCTTCCTGGATATGAATGGCCATCTAAATACGGCCTGTTGGCGCAAGCGGGAAACTGCCCAAATATAAAAACAGGCAGTGATGCCTGTTTACATACAAGCTATCCGCTAGTATGTCGATTTACCCAACGTGACCCCGTCTTTTATATTTTACAAAAAAATTGAGTAATAATAATTGTTTCCTAACATAATGTTAAAAAAAATTTCAGTCATTTTTCCTAATATAGTAAAAAAAATAAAAACCCCAGTAGTGATTAAATACCACCAAAAGAAAGCTCTATCTGTCCCCAAAAAATGGTATAAAATTAATTTCAGTACAGGTTGCATGACGGAATAAATGTCAGTCAAAGTACTGCAGCGCTGAACACTGAAAAATGACTTGGACAGGAAGGGTGTTTAACACCCCGGTCTTCAAGTGGTTAAGAGAAACAGAGTAAACTTTCTAACTAAAGTGCAAGTGCAGCATTTACATTTTGCTGGGGGCTTTTTTTCATCGTTTTGCAAGTGATTTTGAGTCTAAAAATGTTTGTCACCTATGTCTATATTAATGAATCTGTTCTAGAAAATTTGGCTTTGATCGATATTTATACTAGTATTGTGGGATGTCAACAACAATGAGATATTCTATTAATTCTACAAGTTATTTGCATTCAGAAAAAAAAAATATTCTTTGGTAGGTCTTCTGCAAGTTTCTGTGTTTTATCATACCTGGACAAACTGAAAATTTGGTTCACAAACAATATATTTATTCATTGTGGGAGGTAAGCTGAGTGCCTCAAAACACACACACACACACACACCACCTACACAGTGTTCTTTGGTGGGACTCAACCAACTGGATTTCCAGTGCTTAGGGCAAATGTGCTAGGGAACACCTTGGGGTGTCCACTTTCCAAATGGGGTAATTTTGGGTAATACAGTTCTTTTTTCAAATGGTTTGGGGTTTTTCTTTACATATTACAAAAAAAAACGGGGGAAAAAAACAGTTATTAAACACCACCAAAAGAAAGGTCTCAAAAAAGACATAAAATTAATTTGGGTATAGTGCTGCGTGACTGCGTAATTCTCAGTTAAACTTTCACAAAGCTGAAATCTGAGAAATGGTACTGTAGGGGGTTTACCATGCCAGCATTAAAGTAATTAAACAAAATGTTGTTGCTTCCACAGACAGAGCTTACAGACTATTCTGTTTAGAAAGGTATAAAATGATATGTAAGACTGTGTAAACTATACACTAAATATATAAACATTCTCTTGCAAACACATCCACCAAATTTCCTCAACAGCCATAACAATATTGTGTGAACAATTTAACAATGTCATTTCTCTTTTATATTCAGTAAAACAAATTGTCTTTATATGAAACTCACCTCCCCTTTAACTAGGTCTCTATGTCTTTGACAGTACACCTTCTTATCCTCCAGAAACACACAGTTTTTCATTCTAGAGCACATGAAGTGGTAGTTACTTGTGCAAGAAGATAAGCAGCAGCCGACAGTAGCACCCAACTTGAGGCAATTCTCGCATCTCTGCAGAAAGAACAAAATGAATACAAAAATAAAGGAAAAGGTAACCTAAAGCATAACTGTTATTGGATAGTCAATTTCTTCTTTCCATTTTTGTTTTTACAAGTCCCGCTTGTACAGAAATGCTCTATGGTTTATCTCAGACCAGAGCACTGAGTAATAACTGAAATGCAGAGGATCATGTGAAGACAAAACAGGGTTATTTCTCTTTTAGTAGTGCCCAAGTACACAGAAATGCTATAATGTGAAACTCCGGGCAGTTTAAAAAAAAAAAAAGGAAAAAAAATATACATGTGGTTAAGTATTTATTAACAATGCATTGTAAATGCATTAAATGCAGTAAGTGGATGTAGAGGACTGTGTCCTCGTAGCGGGAACTTCTAACCCCCCTGTATAGCAACTCAGACTGGTGAGATGGAGTACCAGCACTTGAAATCAACCTCGCTCTGCTTATGTGCAGACAGTGAATGTTGGCAGGAGGAGAGTGAGCAGAGGGATGACTTCATCAGTGTGCTGTGGCTTCATTGCTCAATTAGCATGCAGGGATTATTTTTAACTTGCTGCTCCTAAAACAGTTCTCAAATATTCAACATTTAAATGTTGTCATCTGCCTGGAGTAGAATTCTGTTCTTGGAGTCTATTGAGGAACACAGAAAGCCTTAAACCTATAGGTTAAACTGCCACCTACAGGATGATTGGACACTGGCAAACAAATAAAACTGTAGGCCAGCCCAGGGTATAACCCACCTACTACCGGCATGCCTCAGTTTTGTAGCAAAGCAGTACCAAGAGCAGGATTATAAATAGAGGGATAACCCTCAATGGGCTCCAAGACAAGGATTCTATGGTGAGTACACGAATCCTATGTTCTTATTATAATACACTGAGGCACAGAGAAAGTCTTAAGCCGAGAAAAAGCAGCCCAACTGAGGGATGGGCAACATAGAAAACAACAGCCAACAGGCACAAAGTAACAGCAACTTGGGACTGTCTGCAGGGGTAAGGTTACCCTTGAAGCTGGCATCAGAATAGGCTGAAATCTACACCTATTAAAACTTGCGTGTGTGAACTGAAGAACAGATGGCTGTCTTACAAACCTGGGAAACAGAGGCTTGATGCCAAAAAAGCACTCTAAGGCCCTGGCGGGGTAAGCCTTGACTGAAATGGGGGGGGAACCTGGTCCTTCAGAACATAAGCTTGCACGATAGTCTGCCTCAGACGCCTAGAAATGTTGCAGCTAGAAGCTGAGGTAACTTTCCTGAACCCTTCCAGAATTACAAAAATAGAATGTGCTGAGAGATATACTCAAAGATCCCGAATCACAGTGGAAAGAAATCATCTTCTGATGAACTAGAGCTGGTTGCAAAAAGGGAAGGACAATGTCCCGATTAAGGTGAAATGCAGAGACCACCTTGGGAAGGAAGGAGGAAAGATCTAGGCTTCATTTTGTCCCTATGTGGTATCATAAAGCTGGAGGCCGTTAAAGCCCAATGATAAACCCTTAAGGGAAATAAACTTCCATGTCCAAAACATGGTAGAGATGAGAAGTCTTTGTCCCTAAGAAAATTGGATTTAACAGCCATGCCACTAAAGTCAGTGACATAGAAGCAGGGTGGTAAGCCTATCCTTGAGACAAAGGATCTGGATGGTCTGGCATAGCCCCAGGCGAGTTTGCAAGAAATCTTACCAGGTCCGCCTACCATGCTCCCTTGGGTCAGTCCAGGGCTGTAGAAACCACTGGAATCCCCTCCATCTGGATATTGTGAAGCAGTCAAGGAAGAAGATTCAGGGGAGGAAAAGCAAAGATCAGTGTGTGTCACTACTGCATCTACTGCTTCCATCAGATCCTGGAACCTGGAGACAAGCCCATTCAATCACTTGTTGAAACTGGAGGCCAGTGATCCAAATTCAGTGTCTCCCTGTGACATAGGTTCTGGATCACCTCTGGTCGCAGAGACCACTCTCTGGGGTCCGCTGCTACTGGCTAAGGGAAAATCTGCCTGCCAATTGTTCACACCAGGGATGTACATTGAAGACAGAGCTGGAACATGTCCTGCCCAGGACAGGGTACATTCTACTTTCTTTGCCACAGCAAGACTTTTTGTTCCTCCCTGATGATTGATGTATGTTACGGCAGTGGTGTTGTTTGCTTTAATCTGGAGCTGATTACATGATAATAGGCCAGTCCAACACTGGTGAGACAGCCAAATCGCCTGAAGTTCCAGAATTAGAGCTGCAGCTAACGATTATTTACAAAATCGATTAGTTAGCCGATTATTGAGTTCGATTAATCGGTTAATCGGATAAAAAATAAAATACATTTAAAAAAATGGCAGAATGGCACCGGCTATAGAGGACTACAAATCCCAGCAATAATATATTATACAGCGCAATGCAGAATACCACCAGCTATAGAGGAATACAACAAATGCCAGCAATACAATATAGCTGGCGGTATTCTGCATTGCGCTGTTATAATGTACTATTGCTGGGTTTTGTAGTACTCTATAGCTGGTGGTATTCCGCATTGCGCTGTATGTGTTATTGCTGGGATTTGTAGTCCTCTATACAGCGCAATGCAGAATACCACCAGCTATAGAGTGTATAATGTACTATTGTTGGGATTTGTAGTCCTATGTATAATATACAGCACATAATATACAGCACAATGTACCATTGGATATAGAGGAATACAAATCCCAGCAATACATTATAGAGCACCATGTGGGGGGGATTGCAGGCTTACCTGAGCAGTCTTCCAGCAACTTGCTTCTGAGATAGGGCCTGTCGGCGATTGTCATCCCCCCACACCTGCTCCTCCTTCTCTCCGCGTCCCTGTGCCAATCGTGGATGTGGGAGGGCGGTGCAGCGTGTGAATGCGGGTGGGTCTGGCAGTGGCGAGCGTGAGGTGGGGAGGAGGTGCGGCACGTGAACAGGGCCAACTAACCAGAAGCCGATTAATCGATGATTGAAAAAGTTGACAACTTTTTCAATAATCGATTATAATCGATTATGTCAATTAGTTGTTGCAGCCCTATCCAGAATGTTTATCAGAAGAGGAGATTCTTCCAACAACCAAGTCCCTTGCACTGCCAGAAAGCCTAGGACTACCTTCAGCCCAACAGGCTGCATTTGTCTACAGGCTGGCATCCGCTATGATCTCCAAAACATGGGGAGGAATGCCTTTCCTGATATCAAAGCCAGAATCTGAAGCCACCAAGAAAAGGACAGCCACGTACTTGGTGTACAAACAAAATAAAATGAGTCTTCAGAGACAGGGTCAAGCTCTGAGGCAATGACAAAGTTCTGGACCAGGAATACGATTCACAGCTAACTTTTACCAGTACACAAAGGTCTGGAAAGCGTCACAGTGCTTGACTTTGAAGTGTCATACCTGGACCCTGCTTGATTGGATGTTGCAGGGCCCAGGTACGGCACACCAAAGTCAAGCTGAGAAAATGCTGATCTAAACAGCTGCATAGAGAGCAGCTCAGCAGACTGAAGAAAAAAAACCAAGGAAAAGAGGTAGCAAAAAAAAGGGTAAACTTTACTCAACAGAGCTAAAAAGGAAATCCATCTTCCTAGGACATTAGCAAAAAAGTGAGGCATGCTGGCTGTGTGCAAAGCCTTCCAGGCTGTTAAATCTGATGTTCCCTCAGCATCGGACTTATAAAGAATGTCAGTCTATATAACATAGTAAAGCTCAACACAAACATACCAGCTGCTTCCCTCTGATAACTGCCATGTGCACATTTTTTAGGGAGCCATCATCATCTTCAAAAACCTCTGCTGACCACAAAGCACAGTTAACGTGTGTCCATTCATCTTGTCCAATGTAAAGCAGGCGTCCAGCATCCTAGAACATAGGAAATAAAGGCATTAAACATGAAAATAATCCTTTCCAGAAAGAAACAAACACAGAGTTTTCAATAGTTTTTTGTCATTACCCATAAGAAGTAAAAAGAGAAGACCTTTGAGTTCATGGTATGCTTACTTGTTCTAGGTCAAAGAGCTTAGCAATGGCAGACCCCAAAGTTTTTGCCAGAAAAGGTTATTTTAATTTTACAGAATGTTTTACTGAATAGCCAAATTAGGAAGCTGACCAGATTACCCTCCCTCATAATACCCCAACTCTCTGAGAAAACACTCTCATTTTTCCAACCAGTATACGCTGATAATTAAAGTAGAACTGAGACCAAAACATTTTTTTCCCCCGTTTTTCTCCATTGGGGAGATTTCCCTTCACTATCGGTCCAATAAAATGAATTAAGAGGAAATCCCTCCAATTTGAACAAAATTCTTGATGGTCAGCAGGGTTACTAAAACTAGTGTCCCTATTGGAAGATTTCCCAACTGTTCTGATGATAGGCCAAAATTTGGGACTTTATTTTACTTGTACCTTCAGGCATAATGGTCACCAGGACAATCTCCTGAACGAGGACAAGACAGCAATAAAAACCTGACAGTTGTTCTAATCCCTCTCCACTTTATGCAAAACTGAAAAAAACTCTTAATTTCAGTTGCACTCATTTATTTTTCTATTTCACAGAATGATATATTACCCATAAATTTATATTCCCTTAAAGTAGTATTGAACTCTCAAACTTTTTTCCAATAATTAATCCAACTCAAAAAAATATACATTGCCCAGAAAAGCATTGCTATACTTTTTTGCCCAAACACTTACACTCATCATGTTTTTGAGCAGCTGCTTCCAAGTCTCTCAGTTCAGCTTCCCTGAACTCCCTGTTTAGTACAAGATCACAAAGCACAGTGCAGACTCCAGCAACTGTTCATCTACTAGCTTGGAGATGGGAGGAGAGGGGGCCAGGGGGGATGGAAGTAGCTTGATTTGCAGTGTCTTGTGTGTTTGTGGAGACACACACAGCTTACTAGCACACACAAGGGTGACTGCATAGTAGGGATGCACCGATAACGTTATTTTGGTACAGAGTACCGATACATTTTTTTCGGTACTCACCGATACCAATTACCGAGTAACGAAAGTCCCATTCAGGGAGCCAGGTGGAGTGTAATGACTCGCCACCTGGCTTCCTGATTAACAAGAAAGCCGTCCCAGCCAGTCCCCTCTCACCTCGGCATGTCCAGCCTGTCATTCCCGGGCCTCTCCAGCCAGGAACGGTCTTCCTCCTGTACCCAGCCGGAGCCGTCTTGTTGGCCAATCATGGAAGCCGGGCGCCATGTAATGACGCGGCACCCTGCTTTCTGATTGGCCGGCTCCATCGTCATGAGATGACGAGGGAGCATGAAGCCGGCTTCCCGGCCAATCAGAATGCCGGGTGCTGCGCCACTACACGGCGCCCGGCTTCCTGATTGGCCAGCTTCCCGACCAATCGGGCAGCCGCGCAGCACGTCATTACACGCTGCTTGGCTTCCTGATTGGCCGGGAAGTCGGCTCCATGATCTCTCATAACAAGTGACGAGACAGCATGGAGCCGCTTCCCGGCCAATCAGGAAACCGGGCAGTGTGTAATGACACGCTGCCCGGCTTCCTGATGCAGGAAGTACTCGTGCTAGGCATCTAGGTACGAGTACTCACCCAAATACTTGGTATCGCCACCGATATCTATACTGGTATCGGTGCATCCCTACTGCATAGCATGCTGTTTGAGAAAGGAGTCACACTAAAACAGAAAGTCAGGACCAGTGCTCAGGGAACCAGCTCATTCTGCAGGAAACTAACATTTTTAAACATCAAGGAGCAGCATCCATTGTAAGTGATTTAAGCAGCATTTGAAATAGCTTAACATCCTTTTGCTTTTAATATTACTTTAACATAAGCAGTTTACAACAGCAACATTTTCCAACATCTGAATCTACAGTCCCAGTATCCATTGCAAAGCTCAATCTGTATAAAGAAAATTAGAGACAATGTACTGGCAGCAGAACCTGAAGCTTAGGAGTCCTCCCCAGAAGGGCTCCTAACGTAGATACCCAAGTTGACTTATGCTGCATTTATTGATTGCAAACTACAGGTGCAGAGGAGTTGCCCACAAAATGTTGATTGCTATGAGCAAACACATTTGTGCCTACTTCGTGTTAGCTGTTATTAATGGGTGCCAAAGGTTCATCGCTGGCTTTGTAAAGGCATCTTTAGGAAATGGCTTCTGATTAGTAGAAAGTTTTGTGTTAAATATATTTGTATTTATAGGGAACCGTTGTGACAATCAAATCCGCAGACTTTCCAGAGTTCATGAGTGAATAAACATCTAAATCCCTCAAATATGAAAAAAACCCTACCGCACAGATCTCACACCCACCCACCCACACTTATATAGAGGTATGCCTATGTAAGGCATAACACTACATAATCCAGCGGCAACCTGCTTGCTGTCATATGTAGCATGAGATCATGAATATATGTATATATCGCGCATAATGTTTTTATAAATAAACATTAAACACATATATAATACACAACAGATTCCTGGAGAAAAATGGGTCAGCTAAAAAGAGTACATCAGATGCTCCCTGCCTTAAGGCTTCCTCTGTCTGCTTGAATGGAACCAACTGATTAGGAATGAGTCAACCCCTTTGAAAGTCACCTATTAAGCGGTCACACACAAAAAAAATGGAGGTTGACATTGCTGATCCCCATCAGAAGATGACAGTTCACTGCATTTTATGCTGACCCGCTGGCTTCAAAGCTTTCTGAGTCTTAGACCAAGAATAAGTAAGCAAATCAGAAGTGTTTTCTTTAGAGGGGGGAGCTTAGCAATGGCAGGATACATATTTCTCTCAGCACAAGTTTCATTTAACAAACAGAGAAAAGGTCTTACTTTTCTTAAATACCCACCAGCCAAAATAGGTGTGGTGCCCCCAAGGTTAAATGGAAGCATCAGTCCATGAAAACCATCTTTAACTATCCTTAGTCAAGTGTATTAAATACAAGTGCCAGCATCACTGACACACTTACATTAGCATTGTCATCTCCAAACTTTAAACACAGGGCACACTGGCGATTATCTTCTATACCAGGTGGTGGTAACAATTCTGGGCTATCTTCCCTGCTATGGTCTGCAGCTGAAGAAACAAAAACCAAGAAAAGACATTTGTGAAATATAAACAGTATTACAAGCAAGAGCAGTTTACAATTTAGAGAAACCATTGCATAAAATGATTTTGTACAAACAGAAGTTGTATCATTTAACCATTTAAAGCGGAACTCCAAATCTCTTTTAAAAAACTTCTCTAGCAGATTGCATCCTAATAGCGGTCCCTTTTTATCTATACATGTATGTATGCAGTGAACATCAGAAAGTCTTTTTTCTTGTATGGGCTTTAGTATACTTCCAGCTGTGAAACATTCAGCGTCGCACAGCTGTTCCGTGTCCTGATGAATTCATGCCCCCTGTAGTTGCACTGAGAGCAGGGGGTGACATCATTATATGACTGATGCAGCTAATGGGTGTTACTGGTGGTAAAATTGCCATCTTTCATGGCCACCAAGTGATGATCACAGGCATTAATAGTATCACTGCCCCCAAGAAAAGAGAGAAGAGGGGGAAGAGGAATGGAGCAGTCACTTAACCGCGACTTCTAACTCATTGTGGAAGGTATTAGGTATAAGATGAGATTTGTTTCCTATAAACAGAAGCAATATTTCTTTGGCTGGGGTTTCACTTTAAAGGCATAGTACTAAAATTGTACTTTCCTGATTCCCTTCCCCCTAGGTGCATGCTCACAGGTGTAAGCAGCAGGACCGGGATTGACCATGTTCAAGGCTGTGCAACTGAGCTAACATCAGCAGAGATTTGGCACTGATTGCTTTACCAGTTTCTTACAGTGTCACTGTATGTTAAAAAGCCAACAAAATAGTTACACACTGGAGTTTTCTACCACAAGTTGCAGTATACTGTTATTGTGGCAGGTAGGGGGCCATCTTTTTAAATAACCTGTACTAAAAATAATAAATACACACTATAACATTCCATGCTGACTCTATAGTGACACAGGATGATATGCAGTGGACAACCCTAGGTTATGGTTTGTTTTAAACCAGATCTTACTTAAAATTGCATGGTAAACTTAGATGCAGGATGGGCAGTGCAATTAGCTTGTCAGCATCAAGTAATTTTTTGTGTGCAAATTGTAATGGATCAAGGGTTAAGCAGGAAGCAAAGTTGAGCAACACAGTGTGCTGTCTTTTTATATAGGGATGCACCGATATTTCGGCCGAAAATAGCACTTTTGGCTAAATACCCAAAGTGCCATTTTCTGGCCGATACAGCAGTGCATCCATTCTTTCTCTCCTCCCCGCTGCTCTGTGTCCCAGCTGTCACAGAAGGCTGAGCTCTCCTCCTGCACCACTCGCTAAGCCTCCTGTGACAGCTGTCAGGATGGAGAGCGAGGTACAAACACTCAACAATCAGTGATCGCTGAGTGTTTGTAAATATTTGAGGACATGGTATGGTTACTATATCCTCAACATTTTCAATTCGGTGCACCTCTAATTTTATAGGTCGTGTAAAAATGCAGGAGAAGTAATTAAACTGGTTGCCTTGAATAACATGTTGAATCCTTAAAAGTATCAAGTACAATTATATAAGCTGAAAAAAATATCTTTTAGATTACGCTTGAACAAAAAAAAAAATTTACAAACCTATTGGAGCTGGTACTGGCGAGTGTATGGGCTGTGGCGATGCTGGGTCTTCAGGAGATCTGGGTTTTGGAGCTGGAATTATTTTTTTCATTAGAGTCAGTTGTGCAGCCAGATTGTTCTCCCTTTCTTGCCACTGAGCGTAATTATGGTCCAGAGATGGTGGTAAGACAGCATTGGGTAACATGCTGTTACTGTGTTCAACAGAAAGACAAGTTACTAAGATCAGAAAACTACTGCAAGTCATAACATTGCTTAACCAGTTGACATCCGCGGTGTTAAACCCCCTTCCCATCCAGGCCATTTTTCAGTATACAAAATTGCTCTAAAACATAAAAGACTTGGAGACTTGGAAACAAAAAGTCTATTCCTACAAACTATTTAATCAAGGTTATAAAGTTAATTTACTGTGATATGAAAATACAGTCTCCTTGGAAAGTGTTTTAAATGTGAGGCTAAAACAAAAAATAAATTAACTACTGGTTTCATGAACGTGCTCTCTAATCTGCCTAGATGCCACAATTTAATACTGAAATTTTTCCTTTTCCTTTCACAGTCATCTCATTTATAGAGTCAGTAAAAATATCAACCTAGGCCACCATCCTATGCCTCCTATTGATTAGTGGAGCTACACATCATAGTTATAGGCTAATCAGGAGTGTGAGAGTCAAGAAGAAATGGGCTCCAAGGAAGTGTTGGAGATTTGCATAACAGAATGCATCAAGTTATGGGCTGCTCTGCATACCCTGTTTATAAGACCTAGTTGTGACAATTCCCAGGGCCGATGGTGGCATAAGGGGGAACTTGAAGAGCTCCTGTCACAGGCGGAGTGATACCAAATGCACTCCGCCTGTGAGGAATGGATAGTAAAAGCGTGCTTCGCTCATTCTGGCCAGCGATTGGTTAGCAAATTGCTCTTGGGAAGGTACGGCACCCCTGATTGCCCTGATGTTTTTGTACATGAATACATGTAGACTTTTCTACATGAATAAGTGTGGATTGTTGTACATTAAAAAAAAAAATAAGACCTACCCCGAAAATAAGACCTAGTGTGTTTTTTTGAGCCCAAAAAAATATAACACAGTGTCTCATTTTCGGGGAAACACGGTATATAGGTATGAATGCATATACAGATTCCTAGGCATTTACTCTCAATAGCTGCAGATAATCAGACTTCAATTTGACAGTGTCACTTTAAAGGCTATTTCCACTTTTGCAGATTTTATATTTTTCTATTCACTTACATTTCAAGTGCATTTTATTTGCTTAAAAATCCTACCTAGTTTCTCCCTATGTAATGTTAAGAAGGGGGCTATGGGAAGTTATGTTTACTCTAATTAACCCTGTCTGTACTGTGCTGGCAGATTCCATTATCAGTTGTAAACTATATTTGAACATTGCTTGTCCTAACAATCCACTAACAAGCCTTTATATGTTTTAGAAATAAAACTGTAACAGTGTATTAACTTGCATCTTATTTGTGTGTATAAAATTCTGTGAAACAAACTTTGTTACCACCATAAAATTAATGGTTACAAGTCAAGTCTCTTAAGATGTTCAGATACCAGTTCAGATACCAGTCCTGATACTTGGCATTTTCAAGAGAACTACCAGGGTTACAATGGTTGCAGCTGGGACCTGGCTCTGGTGCTCCACCACGGTCCTAAAATCATTAGTCGGAATTGTTTTAAAAAAACACATTGTCACATGACAATAAACAAAAATGTATCAGTACTTGCATCTGTGAGTACTTGGATAAGTATCAGTACTTGTACTGGAAAAAATGGTATCAATGCATCCCTTTATATATATTTATAAAAAACATCCATGCATTAAACCAGGTATGCACAAATCCCAGGAGCCCTGTATGCTCCTTGAAAATGACAGCTGCTTCCTAACTTTTGCTAGTCTCGTCTTGGAGCTGGAAAAAGTATCTGTACTTGTACCGAGCACGGTACTTGGTATCTGAACATCCCTACTTTTCGGTGTTGGTGCATATGTATGTATTTATAGTATTTATTGTATAGGGGCTTATGACTAAAACATTGTTTTTAAGGAAAAAGTTAGTATTACAGTATTTTATACATAAAGGACAATAATTAGTGTAGTTTTGCAGTTTTATTTTTAACGTGGATAAAGGTTTCCTTAATATAAAGCGCAGGGCAACTACCAAAAAATGTGTAAGAGACTACAATATATTACTAGCTACTAGCACACATTTTTTGCTCAATGGACTACAAAAATCATATTAGGTTTCTTTTGTAAACTACTAATCCCATCAATATCCATGTAATGGAAACTACATGTTTTAAGTCCAGCTTGGGCGGTAACCATTGCTCCCTCCACCGATACAGTGGAGGAATGAGTGTAGCAACCAAGGGACTAATACAGCCAACTCATTTAAGGACTGGTAAGATGCTCTAGATTAAATTTTTGTTTCTGGGTTTAGATAGGCTTCAAGCCCACTGCTTTTAAGATGCTAAAAATATTATTATGTATAAACTACTATACAGAAGAACTGGTACTGAACATACAAGATAACTTTTTGTAATATTGTTGATGCTGTAGACTAAATATTTTCACTTCAATTATCAAATATTGTGAAAAGCAAATTCCTGTTTACATCTTTCATATGCACAATTGGATAATTGAGGTTAATATTTGCACAATTTAACTCAACTTTGGCCTTATCTGTCCAGAGCAGATTGGTCATGAAGTTTGATCAAATCAAAGGCAACTCCTAAAAGCCCATAGCTGTTCATGCCTTTCTCTGCCTCCCCCCCCATCAGACTCTTATGTGTTGGCTAGTTGGCTATAATATGTCAAATAAAAGATACAAAGGTAACAATTTGTCACAAAATTACATTTACCTAATAACAGAACTCTATAAACAACCCAAAAAGGTGTGTGTACAACTATGAGCATGGCACTGCATGATAATGCATGTTGCAATGCAATGCATATCCCTTGGCTAGATCCGTTGATTTGCCGTTTAGAATAATTAGCTTCAAATTACACCAACACAATGTTGTAATGAGAATGGGCCCTAAGTAATACAAGCTATAAGTAATGTATAACGAGACCTGTTTACCCATTTAAGTCCAAGTGACAAAGGCTCGTTAAAGCCTTCTCTTCCCAGAAGGCCAATGCCATCTTTATTTAGGCATCATCTTTTGCCAGGACTAGGATGCAGGCGTAAGGACCTCTATTAAACTGAAGTCCCCCAAAGCTTTGACCCACAACTTACTTGCTGTTAACCTTATTTGGCTCCCAAAAGCGAGATTTCTTCACGTTAAACCAAGGGAAAACACGTTCCATTTGCTAGAGAAAAAGAGGACATATACATATATCAGCAGTCAGATAAAATGTGTAACACACAGCTTCAGGCAAAGATGAGTCCTAAGAGGTATCACAATATGCCTGCAGGTGTTTGATCAGCTAATAAAGACATTTTAAACTACCAAAAATGTATTTTTTTCTTTTCGTGACGGGAGACGTACACTGTATGTTCCGTCACAAAGTGGCTATATGACTGGCCACGTACACTGTACGTGCCGAGTTATATTAGCCTCTGTAATGCTGGTAACTGCTGATTCTCAGCAGTTCCAGTCATTAATGAATGCCTCACTATTGAGCCATTCATTAATGAAATAGTTAAGCTTTTGTAAAAGCTTCTTTCTTTCATTAATGAAAGAATGAAGCCTTTACATTCAGATACGGGTTCGCTAAATAGCGATCCCGTATCTGACAGCTGAAGATAGCAGAGAGGTAGCAGTGACTCACCTCTCTGCTATTCGTTTTGACAGCTGGAGAGCCTGGCCCGATGTTAAATGATACATTTCAACCACTAGATACAAAATGTATCTCTTGAGTGAAATGTATCAGTTTTGATCGTCTAGGAACGATCAAAGACCTTTAGTGAGATCTGATTCTGACATGCTGTCAGGATCAGTCTCTAAAGTTATTATTAGCTGTTCCTAAGTTTGGAGCAGCCTGATAATAACTAAAAATTAAAAAAAAGTTAATTTATTAAGCAGTCATAGTGACTGCTTGATATAAACTGACAAAAAAAAAAAATTTTTTTTACAAGTGTAAAAAAATAAATAAAGTGTACAAAAAATTAGGAAAATAAAACTTTTATATATAAATATATTTTTATACTATAATTATTATTTAAAAAATTCTAAAAATAATAATCAAAACTTGCTGCTGTGGAAGAATCACACAGAAAAAATGTAAAAAGTGTGTCAGTCATTTAGGAACAGAAACTAAAAACTAGCTCAGTCATGAAGGGGTTAAACCTTAATCAATGGTCAACTTGAAAACATTATCTTTTGTAATCAGGGCCATTCCTATCATAAGGCAAAGTGAAAACCTTGTCTTAGAGAACACTATATACATAGCACAAATGTGTGCAGTATACATTAGAAATCACAAGAATATTTTTTGAAGGAACCCTGTTAAAATACCTATTAAAAAATCCTAAAGCACAATTGAACCGTCTTAAATACAGCCAGGATGCATGTACAGTAATGACTATGCAATGCTTTTACTTTTTCCCAGCTGTTAGGAGCAGACGCAAGGGTCATAATGCCCTTTGCTAGCATCACATAGAAGAGTCAGACCGCGGCTCTATCACACGAAGCACCGGCCTGGCTCACCAGCAGTCCCCCTGAACACTGCTCTAATCAACCAGGAAACACGCAGAGATAGGCTTTCATTTTTTTTTTTTTTGCACAAAGAGTAACAGATCGGGAAGAAATGTGTTAGGTCCAACACAGGTCTAATGCACTGGTTAGATGTGGTGCAGATGTTGCCATCTAGTAGAAAGAAAATGATATTCTAAGTATTGACTACCAACTTACATAAAATACAGCTGATGTACGTAAACCAAAAAAGGTAATAAGAAACTGATGTTAATCTGATGGGGTCAGTACTTAGGCAAAAGCCTAGAAACACTTACCTTTGTAAAAAATGATCTCGCAACACTGTTTGCCTTCTTCAGCTCTGGCTGGCCTCCATCTGTATTCATAGCAGCCTGGATAATTCTGACAATGTCATCACTCAGTTCCAACTGTGAAAAAGGCAGGGTGCATGTAAACAGCATGCCACTTTTTTTTCTACTCATTTAAATTTGTTCTTTCAAATATTTATGTACTGTTCTCCCATTTCCATTACGGACTGTCATTGCTATTGCATGTGATAAAGCATTCCAAAGCTAAACTGCCCTTACTATAAAAACATATTCCTAAACTGTTGTTAAAATCTTTTTTTTTTTTACCCCACTACATGCAGTGGAGTTCGTCTGATCCCTCATACAGTCCTTCAGCTAAATAGTCAATTTGCCTAATCTTTCAATTTAATTTGCAAGTGTTTATAAAAGAAAGCATTAGTTTTTGGTATCGTTACACCTGACGGAAACAATGCTTTATTCTTCCTGAAAGGTGTCAGATTAAAAACAATTGTCTCATGTAAAGCTGCTTGCCTTTGGTATGTCAGAGACATAATCAGAGTTAAGCAAAGTTAAGCTTATTCTACAAATATAATCTGGACAGATTTGTTGGTACCCCTAGAAATCGATTACAAATAATTGTATCAGCAATACTTCAAACTAACGGTTTTTTGTAATTAGTATTACACATATCTATAACCTCACAGTCAGTCTATTTAGATGAAAAAAGGTATTCTGCTGTTTGATATCATCATGAGAATTGCAATGAATATAGACCTGGGAAAGCAAAGGCAAGAGTTGTCTGAGGAGAGCAGAAAGAAAATTAAAGAACAGGATGAGAAAGGTAAAGGCTATGAGACCATCTCCAAACAGCAAATATTATGAAAATGTTTAGGGTCCATGGGAAACCGTCAACGTCCCTGTCCATGAAAGCAAGAGAAAAATTGAAGTGTGAAGGGTAGACAAAGAGCCAAGTAAAAAACAAACAATAACTCCAAGGTCAATATACATCATTAATTGCACCATTCATTGCTTTTTGAGTGACAGTGGGCTCAAAGGAAGAAGACCCAGGGGGACTCCATAGTTGAAAGAAAAATTGAAAAAAGCCAGACTTTGTTAAAATACATGTTGACAAGCCACAATGCTTCTGTGAGAATGTTTGTTTGGACCAATGAGACAAAACATTGATCAGCTCCATGCTCACAGTTGAAATAAATTAAGCTTTTAAAGAGAAGGCTTGGTTATGTTTTGGAGCTGCTTTGCTTCATCTGGCATGGGGTGCCTTGAATGAGTGCAGGGCACAATGAAATCTCAAAACTATCAAGGGATTTTAGAGCAAAACTTTCTGTGCACTGTCAGGAAGCACTGCTTCAATCACAGGTCATAGGTCCCCTAACCCAATAATGACTCAAAACACACAGCTAAAAAGCACTCAAAGAATGGATGGGAACAAAACATTGGACTATTCTGAAGTGACATTCCAGGAGCCCTCATCCCAGTTCTATTGAATATCTATGGAAAGAATATGCAGTCTGGAAAAGGCACTCTTCAACCCCAAGAGAGCAGGAGCAGTTTGCTCAAGAAGAGCGGGCCAAACTACCTGTCGGCAGGTAAAGAAGTCTCACTGAGAGCTACAGAAATCACTTGTTTGCAGCGATTGCCTCTAAAGGTTGTGCAAGAGAATATTAGGTTAAGGGCCCCTTCATTTAAGTCCCGTCATTTTCCTTTGTGTTGCTAAAAGTATTCTATTAAATCAAAAAGTAGTATGATTTTTATTAAATATGGAATAAACAACGATAGATGGCAATTACTTTTGTCAGTTTCAAGTTATTTCAGAGAAAATTGTTTTGTTCTTTTGCAGAAGGGAACCAATAAATCTGTTCATGTCTATGCATATTAGGCCTCCACTATGATGACATACCACCAAACTGAATACGGAAAGCTTGTGAGGTTTTTTATTCCTTTTATCGAGTTTGTGGCATATTAATATATTAGAAGAAAAGGGTCATAACAATTTTTGTTTTTATCACATGGCACATTGAAACTTACCACAGAAGTGTACCTGCCGTGGTCCATCTTCCTCTTTACTCCCTCCAGGTCAAGGGGTGGTTGGTCATCTTGCTTGCCAACTTGGATAAGAACAGGGGGATCAGGACCCTTGGGAGAGTTTCTTAAAGGCATATTCTCTTCAGTCTCAGGATTTAAGTCAGGTGGCTTTGCTGCCTAAAATATTTATTTAAAGACAACAGTTTCTCAAAACCAATCTTTATTCATAAAAGAAAAGAAATGTATTTTCATTGATTTATAACAGCCACTGTGTTTAAACTCTGCTCCTTTTTTGTGCAGCCTGATCTATTAGTGTCCAATGTGCAATGGTTGTCTACATATATCTTTCAAGACAAGCATTTGTCATTGTATAAATAAAATCGGTTCTTTTTTTCCTGATAGGATATATAACTTACTATAGAGTCAACACCAGCTTCTAAACACAAGCCACTGACCTCACTGCCTGCCTGTGGGGCATTCCTGACTCCAAAACCCTTATTACATTCCTATTTGGATGACTCTACTCAAAGTAGTAATCCAAAAAAATGTTGTTTTTTTTGTGTTCCTTTGCTAGTAAAGAGCTTTTACATGGAAATCTCTTAATCTACCATCTAAAACTCAACTGCCACTTAAAAAGCTGCCAATTAAAAACCTCATAAATTAAAGCCACATTTAAAAGCATTAGCAAAAGAGACTTCAGGAATTTACGCTAAATCATTCTTCCTTGGTTAACTCTCCCGAAGATGAAGCCTCATCCTAGCAAATAAGACTCAAGCATCAATAACTTAGTTCACACAAAATTGCCCAGTATTAGATGGAAAAAGAAGTGTTGGCAGCGGTCATGCAAAGAGAGTAATAAGCAGATACATTTGTGGATTAAAAGGAATGGCAAGGATTGACACAATATAACTGATTTGTTTGTAATAAAACAGCAATTGGTGACCATTCCTGGAGGAGAGAGTTAGAAGAAGTTGACAAATTAAAGAATTGCAGACAAATGAAAGAAGGCTATGGCTTAAAAATGAGGGTCTGTTGAAACCACTAAACCCTAGAAGATAACACTTGGACCTACGGTACTTAGAATGAGGGCAACTAACAGGCAGCTCAACCCTAAAAAGAATATATATCCCCATCACCCCATTGTGCTGACAGTGAATCTTGCATAGAAGTCAGTAGGTGAAACTTCTATTGCTTCATGTAAGCTATGTTTTTTACCTAGTTCAGACAAGCTCAACTATGACCTGCTCGGAAAATCCTGTGTATATGCCCAAGTGTTAGGCTTTAATTAGTATTTAAATGCTATTAATTTTTTAAGCTAGAAAAAACACTTTTGTGTAACTTTAGTAACCAGCAAATACTTCTCTGATCTTTTTTCTTTTAACAAATTGCTTGAATTGCTTGACTTCAGGACTAAGCCCTGCATACCAGCCTTTCCTCTATGGAAAGAGAAAGCTGTTATCACTAAAGCACCTGCACTGGACATGGGACTAGATTGGACAGAGCTTCGTTCAAAAGTCAGGAACTAAAATTTAAGAGCAAACACACTGCAGTGTCTGCTTACTGAAGGACATACAATTAATATGTAAAATTGCTTAGAGGGTTACGGTAAAAGTTAAACACATTCAAATTACAAAAATTGAAAGATCGTAAAACATTTGATTGAGTGTTCCAAATTTATATTTATGAGAAATCTTTGGCCTAGGGCAAAACAAATATGTGAAGGTCCTTATACAAATGCTAAAAAGTAAGCAAGGGCAATGGAAAAAAAAAAACAATTTCATGTTTGGTCCCACCTGTCTGTAGCGCAGAAGATGACTTGCAGTTCGAGAATTCAGCAGTGTGTTTAGGACATATCTGAGGGAGGACTGTAACTCGTTTGTTAGTGCTAGCCTCCATTCTGCAGGGTGATGGTCAGTGCAGTTTACACAGGTGTAGGCCACACTTTCTGGCAAGTTTGAAAGGATTTCATACATCTCATCTGAAGAAAAACAATAATTACACAATCTCTGCAGAAATATAAAAATATAATAGAGAGAACACATGGAACCTACTTTCAAAAATACTATAAAAATGAAATTACAGTAAAGCTAGTTGACAAATATTACACAGCACAATGATTGTGCATTTAAAATAGAGGTTTTTTTCCTCCATGTTCACATACTGATTCTTTTTTGCTCAAAGGGCAAATGTAAGCATCACCTGAATAATGACCCTTGTTTACGCACGGTTGTAAAACAGCACCCTGAGCCTGGAATCATACTGTTACTGTATAGTCCCAATGACAGACAGGAAAGCAATGACCCACCCAACTAGATCTTCCTAGAATAAAATCAAAAGGTATCCAATAACTGTCTTCCTCCGGCAAAGCTTATCAAGTTCACTTTTGGTTCCTGATCTGCCCTGCTATACAGCCAGATATCAGAGGTACAGCAAGACAGAAATGTAATTGAACACGTTGCATTTAGTACTATTTATAGTACTGCAATGGCAGATTACGTATGTTACACCAAAATGAAGTGCTCCCAATCAGAAGCAACTAATGAACCCAATCTTATAGTTCATTCTTTTATTAACAACATGCTTTCCTTATAGTCCTTTCCCTGATTACCAGCAGGCAATGTCATTTTTTCTACATTGGTTTTAGAAAAAGGAAGTAAACTGTAAGATTCTGGTAAAGGTGTTATGATTGTGATACACTGTATATGGCTAACAGGTGATGGTGTTGCTCAAACTCTACTTAAATCGGACCTTTACCCATATCTTTATAACAATAACAAACACACCTTTAGAAATGTTTAATTATGACAATCAGATACCTCTAGATACTTGCAGGCATTGTATTATTTGCATACCTTATTTTTCTTTTCCTCCCCATTCTTCTTACAGTGGCCATTTTTACTAAGGGCAGGTTACTATATTCCACTTTATTTCCTGGAACTCTGGACCACGTGACTAGGAAATGTGACCATGCACATCAGCTCAGGGGAGAAAAATGCCTTTCCCTGAGATCTCATGAGATTACCGATGAGATTTCCCAGCAATGCTCTGCTGATGTAACCTTCCCAGGATGCAACGCTTGGGCACAATTACATAATTTGTGTCAGAAGTGGACCAGGAAGTGGATGAACTCTATTTGCAGGTAAATGAAAAACATGTTTGTTTAACTAATGAATGTAATATGATTTCATATCAGCACATTGATGTGATTTTTAGTGAAAGGGGGTAAAGGTCCACTTTAAGCGTTGCTCCAGTGTGACATACTTGGCCTGCTTTATGTTTCTTTTAGACCAATTTGTCCAAATGTCCAAAATGTGTAATTTACTGTCCTTAAAGAAATGTCAATCATAAATGGCACAATAACACACTAAAAAAACGCACCTCAAACACACTGGACATCATTTTTTTTAAAGTCCCTGGGCTCCAACAATGCCATAGTAATTCATTTTTTTTTCTAGAAAAATATTGTTTAAAAAGAGCTACAAACTAAAAAGATAGTTGTGTGATATATACCTGTCAGGTTTTCACATTTGGAGTGTACCCAGCGATCACACTTTCCACACTGCATCATTTTACTTTCATAATCATCATCATCATAACACTTGTTACACAGAGGACAGAAGTTGCCTAAAGTAAAAAAAAATATATAAAAATAAACTTGCATATACATACAAAATATCTGCTAATATAAAATGTTATTTTTTTTTGTGCACCAAATGCCTTTGCCAAATCAGATTTTATCTTACCATATACCTTACCTACAAGTTGCAGTGATATCACTTTTGAGCATAGCCTGTGCAGAGTACCGAACTATAGATGGAACCTAGCAGGTCCATCCACTACAAGCTTCATTTAGAAAACTACAGGGGAGCAGATACAAGACCATTCACCCTGCACATGCAGATAGAGAGAGCAGCAATGGCTGGTCTTTACTACAGAAAATCCCTGCACAGTCAAGGTGCAGGAATTGTTTCATGCTGGGTTACTGCACAGATTAGAAAGAATGCACAAAAAAGGGCACAGGTAAGTAGCCTTTCTTTCTCATCCTTTGAGGGACACAGGTAATCTTAAATATTTGGGTTCTATTGCTGCCTACAGGAGGATTGGACACTGGCAAACAAATAAAAAACTATAGGCCAACCCAAGGTGTAACCCCTCCTAGCCTGCTACCCCCACAAAATCAGGATGGAATCAACCATGTCTATTGTTGATTTCCTTTACCAGGGGGACTTCCTGGCTTTGGTTGACCTAAAATATGCCTAGTTACATATTCCTATCATTCCTGCTCACCAGCACTTTTTGATTTTTGTTCATGGCCCTTCCTTTTGACATGTGTTCTGCGCCTTGTGTGTTCACCAAGGTGCTTGCTCCAGTGTTAGCACGGCTGCCCTCATGGGGTATCCCAATTATCTGATACTTGGACAACTTCCTGTTTTGAGAATAGTCACCAAGGGCTCTGGAGGACAATGGGTCTCTAACTGTCCAGACGTTATAGCGGTTCTGGTTGTTCCTCATTCTTCAATGGTGGCTGACTCGCACTCATCGTGTAAACCAATCTCCACAGAGATCTGTGCTGATTCCTATCACCCTATATTATGAATATTTGCTCAAACCGCATTTGAAAAATGAACTTAATTAATACTTAGTTAAAAAAACGTGAAGTGCTAAAAACTACTTCTCACTACACTGTGTAAAATTAATAATCCATAATAATCAAAAGTTCAAATTCTCTATACATATATTAATCAAATAAAATACCTAATCTACAATAACTGAAATACCTTTCATTCTTTTTAATAGGAAAACATTATAATTATTATACAGGATTTATATAACGACAACAGTTTGCGTAGCACTTTATGCAAGTATGTGCATTTGCTTTAAAAACACAACTCTGGAATAAACAGAGAATATTTTAGCTGTAGTTCAGCTATGTAAGGTGCATGGGAAATTGAATAAGTAGCATACTGATCAATACATTTTTGGAAATTACTAAGTGCTAATTTTTCGGATCTTTTGAGCAACTAGCATACAATATCTGCCTTTTTTGCATTAGCTGCTATTACTGCCATAGATAACGTTGTTTATTGTCTGAACTGGCTAGCATTGTCAAATCTTACCTTTAGCAAATAGTTTGGCACAGTCGTGGCACAGTGAGAAGTCATGTGACCACTGTGCATCCCAGCCATTGCCTGGTGTGGTGGACCCACAACTCTTACATCGCACACATTTAGTGCAGATCTGGAAAACAAATATTCCACTGCTTTACATTTTCCTAAGCTACCACAATGAAGTATTTAAACAAACAGCAAATTAAATAAATGGTGAAAATAATAAATCCCAGCGGATTTTATTAAAAATTGTTTTACTTGTTTCTATTTCTATTAGGGATGTTCCGATATCGATACTAATATCGGCGCTGATACCAGGCATTTTCATGATTACTTGTACTTGTGAAATGCCCTGATTCTTAATGCCGATACCGGCCCTTTACATTTTTAAACCACAGCGGGTGTCCGAGTTCCTGCGTTTGTGGGGACCTCAACTGCCTGCTGGGGACCTGCAAGTAGCCTGCAGAACCCTGCAGCGAACCACGTGTCACCCGGATGAGATTGGCACGCAACCTGGTGAGATGAATTCTGTTCCTGGGACATGTATCCTGCTTTGGGGACATGTATTCTAACTCTGGTGACATGTATTCTGCTCTGGGGACATGCATTCTGCTCTGGTGACATCTGTATTTAGCTCTGGTGACATCTGTATTTAGCTCTGGTGAGAAATTGCCCTAAAATCATCAGTCTGTATTGTTCTACAAAAAAATTATTGGGAATTGGTATCGGCATGTACGGCATGAGGGAAAGTACTTGTACTTGGTCTTAAAAAAGTGGCATCAGGACATTCCTAATGTCTAGTAATGCAAACATTTCAATATCATCAGTTACAATAGAAGACCAAGAAAAAGAGAAAGGTAAACTGGTTACAAAAATGAGACCCAAAAGGCTGCATGCAGTTGTTCTGTTTTTTAATCACAAACCCCATAATGGCCTGGTAAGTCAATTTTTATACTCCAACGCTAACTGCAAAAAAAAGACTAGAAATAATATACTTTAGTTAGTTTATGTAGTACTATAGTAAAATGACTCACCCAGACTCTCTTCTTTTTTGTTGGTTTTGTAGGGTAGTTTGGTCCCAGGCACTCTGGGTGATAACTGTTGCGGCACTTATTACACTCAAGGAGTGGCTACAGGTAGAAAAATAATCAGAGAAGGTTAGTCAGAAAAGGGTCTCACTTTGACATACACAGCCTGCTTGTCAGACCACTAGCTAAAACATAGCAACTCTCCTTAAAACCACAAAGAGACAGTACCTTGTTAACTTGCTGCTGTCTACCACATACATGGCAAAATTTGCACTGCCGACAACACCAGTTATCCAGCTGTTCCTGTGTGGGTCGTTCTCTCTCCTCTAAACAGAACTGGTGAAACGGCTCACAACAAACTTGGCAGAACACAAACTAAGATTGAACAAGGAAAAATTAAAAAAATACAGTCGATTAAAAAGAATGGATATTGTTTTGGATATATATTACATTTAGTACTAAATCAAATAATGTTTTAGTTTAAGTATATATGAAAGATTGCACATCAATATTTCACTCATACTCTCTCTAGCCAGCTGACTAAATATCAACACTTTGAGGGGAAAAAAGCATATTAGAGCTTAGTAGCCGAAAAACACACAACTGAATGGGGAATAATTAACTCATGTCCTCTCCCCTACTCCTTTTGGCTCTGTAGAGAATTTTAAATAGAGACACACTGTCTCAATGAGAGAAGGCAGCTGCTGTGCTCCCTTTAGAAAACCCAGCATACTCTACAAAAATAGCACCATGGGTACAACCTGACAACTTGCAAATATTTGTTTGTAAACTAATAATTGTCTATAAATAAAAAATAAAAAAACATCAGTTTAAAACCTTTAGAACAGTGATTCTCAACCTGTGTAACCTCAGGACCCACATTTGTCCTAGGTCATTAAGTCGCAACCCAAGGTGCACAACAATGGAACGCATAGCATGCGGTACCGCGCGTTCCGATGCGAGCGATAGAACTGTGGTTGGGAGATGCATTTTGGATGTCATTCAAATGAATGGCAATGCACCCCCACACCAGAATACGCTGTGACGCAGGGCCATCCCTTTGTGCATCACCAGTAGAGGTGCACGTATGAATGGAGCTCCCTCGCGGCCACAACCCCAGCCCATCCCACCTGAAGCTGACACTCGGCACTGGGCAGCATATATTTAATGGCTGTTTGGCACGAAGACTGACAGTGGTGCGCTAGGGGAAGGCAGAGGAGCCTCTCACCTAGAAAAGTGGAAGGCATGCGGCGACCCACTGAACATGGGGTCATGACCCACTTTTGGGTCACGACCCACAAGTTGAGATACAAGGCTTTATAATAAAATCATCCTAGTTTATTTTTAAAGCGAACCTGATCAAAGTGCCGCTAAAAGAAGTGTAAAGCAGAAATTGAATACTTACCTCTATTGCCACCCATCTCATGAACACCGCTCCATTGAATTGAGATCCCTGAATGATTTATTCTGCAGAAACCTAGAGG